ACTCTCTGTCTGATTATATACACTCGCATTTTCACAATCGGACCAAAAACAGGCTCTGTGCTTTTCCCGTGTTCCAACATCAGCGTCGGTCAGAAAGAGATTGGTTGGATTTTTCCCTATCGATTCAAAGAAAATTTAATTAAATGTTTCACCTTCTATTCACAGTTTTCTGGGTAGGAATGAAAATTGACAACATTCATAAGACTGTGAAGATTTAGAACCTTTTTTTTATCTCTCAATGTCATTTGACAAACTGAAATACAGGAATGGGGAACAAATATATTAAAAACTCAGGAGCAATTATTTCTTTCTGTTAGGACATTTTTTACTCTATCCTTTGATTTATTTTCTCTTGTGTTCTTCCAGGCCGGCTTTTCAACAATCTGCAACCAACTTAGTCTGTTGGCAGCAGGGCTGGACAATATCTGTGAATTAAATATGTTATTGTAGTAACATATTTAAATATGTTATTATTATAACATGTTAAGTTATTGCTTCATGTTATTTAGGAGCTATTAATGGTTTTAGTGTCATTCTCAAGTCATCACAATACAAAGGGTTTAAAAATATATATATTATTATAGATTATAATGAAAATAAACCATCAGTTGTGAAAGTGGTTAAATATCCATGATTTTTCTTTGTCCCTCAATATGAGCTGCTTTCTCTGCTGTGCCAGTTGCTTCATTTGAAGAGACTTCTTACTCTCATTTAAGTAAATTTTCAGTCATGCTTATACAGTATCCAGCTTCTCTTCAATAAGATAAGTTTTCCAGGCAATGAGCAAATAAGCCAGAACAATTTGTCTATCTTTAAGGGTTACAGGCTCTCGACAGGAAGCTCTGCTGTTGCTTTGCGTTTCTTCTTGTGTGCCCTGCCTCCTCCACTCTGATGTAGCTGTTGTCAGAATTTTTTGGAGCCAATTTATTTATTTATTTTCTTTTTAACTTTCACAACGTCCAAGTCCTCTTCACACACAGCTGGTGGAAAGTTTGCATAATTAATAAAAGCGAAAAGTTTGTGCTTTGAAATATCCATCTTGTGTTATTTACAAAGTTTGGTCACAATTAAAGTCAAGTTTTTTTTTGTTGTTTTTTATCCAGCTGTAAAATGATCAGACTAATGTAAGACTCTTTGCTTAAACAGGTTCTGCTGTAGGAAGGGTGGCAATAGAAGAAGGAAGTAAATTAAACGTGAATAATTTTAGCTTTGTATGATTACTTTTTATCTTCATATATATTGAAACTGACATTCAAAACAGCAATACCGCTATTTATTGATGCAGACCTTAATTATTTCCGTATTATCACATAGCCCTCGGCTGAGCTTTGCTGTACGTGAAAGATGTTCATGCCGTTTTTCAGCTGCAGTTCATCATGGAAATTGGACTGGATGGGACAGGGAAATTTACATACCACTTTCAGCACAGCACAACTTTGCCCTGATGTGAAACTAATGTATAGCTAATTATGTCAAATCAATTTATTGTTATGGGAACCTTGCATCGTTTATTGTTGGAATGTGACATCATAGGTTAACAGAGTATTCCTCTCGCTCTCCCTTCCACCTGCCTGTCTCCTTGTTTGTGTAGGTTTCATCTCTGACTTTAGTATATTCCCTTTAAATAGGAAACATTTTCTACTCGTGAAGATGAGACTCGGTGTAAACTCATTTTCTTTGGTTGCAGTTGTCTTCAAAAACAAATGAGATTCCTCTTTCGGTGTTTTCAGTTAAGCATGACAAATTTCTCTGTGGCCTTGTTAACATGAGAAGAAACAGCTGAAAATCATTGTCATTGTACTGCATTTCATCATGCTCAACTTTCCAAGCATAGCAAACCATAAGCTATCACATGTCGGCATGTGTGCCTCCTCAGACACCCTGGTTAGGCTGGTTTTTTTGTGTGTTTTTTTTCGTTAATCGGTGTGTTACTTTTGCAGCTGTGTTTTCATACATCATTGTAGTTTATTGGCTTCAAGATTTTCCAGATTTCAAGCCTGCGGTAATTAGAGCTTCATGACGAACAGATATGGAAGTGACGTTTAGAGAAGACCTTAAGAAAAGATTAAAAACATATCAGCGCTGACAGATCGTATTAGTTTTAGTGTGTTTTTGTGACGTTTGTTAACCAGTTCCAAAGTTGTAATTAACAGGAAGTGTCCGGGCAGGGCCTGACTCGCAGCAGGGACGTTGTTGTTAGCAGCACTAACTAGCAGACGGGGGGGGGACGCGGAGCTGAAGGCCCCTAGGAGCAGTAAAGGGAACCACTTTAGCATTTTAAAACACAGCAGTCCAGCTGCTCTCTTGGGTTTTCTGTGACCCAAATCTGGTGATTAACACATTAAGTCCACGCTTATTATGCTGTCGATCATTTCTCCAAAAACCTGTATCACATAAATTGTAATCTGAAAAAAAATAAAATAAAATTCCTTTGAGCTTTGTAATAAAACAAAATAAATTCTCAGCATTCAGAGCTGTTCCATTTGAAATGTGAACTTGTTTGTCTTTCATTTTCATGGCTGATGAAATTGTCTGTGCTTGTTTAAACCGACAATGAAATTTTCTGATATTGTAACACTTTCATTACTGCAATAGGAAGAAAATTAAATATCAGTCAGAGGTTTGGCTCTCCACATCATGTGAAATATAAACCTTGATGAAGTGGCTTGCTATTTGATCAATGAACAAAGTACATCTTATGCCTTTTGATTAAATACTTAAAAATTGCTGGAGGTTCAAAACAGACAGTCTTATTCACTCACTCCCCTTCTACACCCTGGATTCTTGTTTTTGCCATCCCCTTTTTGTTCTTTCCGTCTTCACATCTTGTCTAGTGGCAGGTATTAATTGAGGGACCCTTGTTATAATAGGTTCTAATTGTTAATCACACAGCCTTGTTAGAGAGCACTCTAATTGTAATTATAGAGGCTCGTTAGCCAGGGTCCTGTCATTAATTAGACATTGTGACCTCGGTAATTTGCTGGAGGCATACATGTATGTGCCAGTAATTTTCTCCAGCTGGGTAATGTCTGGCTTTCAGGGATGAAAAAAGCTGTTTGCCTTTCATCTTGAACCTAAAATGAATTTATTCTTTATATAATCTATTGTCCCGTTGGTGAGTTAGTTCAAAAAATCTGGTTTAGTGAAATGAGAAATTACCTCCGAGCCATATTGGACCTTCGACTCTTTCTGCAAGCTTTCATTTATTTAAGATTCTAAACATTCGTTTATAGTTGAACACAGTGACACTGAGACACTAACAAGTCAAAATCTTATAATCTGGGTTTCTCCTTGTAAATATTTACTAGGGAATCTGTTGATTTCTCACTGTGCAAAACAAAATATGTAATAATAAATGTGTGTATTCCACCTAACCTGCTCCAGTGGCAGCTGTAGGAAAATGTAGAGAAGGGAAAATAAAGACATATTGACCTATTTGCTCTGAGTAGATAAGAAAAACATTTATTTTTATCTGTGCAATTGCCTCTTGGATATCAAGATGAAGCTGACTTGTGTTTGTACTTTGCAAACTTTGACTTTTGCTAAAAGATTCAAATGTGTAAATGTCAAGAAAACCTTTCTAGGACAGCTAAACTTTATTTCAAGATTATAAAAGGTTCTTTAAATGATACAAGACCTGAACACAAGAAAACTAAAACCTGAGGTTGAATCAATATTAACTTAACCATGTTCAAGCTGCAAGTCAGAAAACCAAAGACTGCTGACTTTTTATTGTGCTCACTGACCTGACGTACTAGTATATAGAATAAACATTGTAATAATAACTTGTTCTCCACAGTAGAAAATAATGTTCTGCCAAGTTTAGCTTTGAATAGCAGAACTATTTGTATATGTTAAATTCAAATTCATAAATACTTTATTTTAATTTCCCTTGGGGGAAATTAAATAATATAGCAAACCATCAAATCATCATAAGTGGAAAAAAAAAATGTTTTCAGCAACTTCTCTTAATATTGTCCAGAGAGTAGCCTTCATGAACATAACATCTTTGTAGCTGTGAGCTCAACAAGAATAAAGCTTGGACACACTTTGACAAATGTAATTTCTGGACACAACAACCTGTAATTATTCTTTTTCGTGTTTGTTAAATATGCACAACTATTAATTGTGCAAAGCACAACTTAGATGTCTACCAATTTTAAGTTGAACCTAAATTTAACCTAAAAATACAGTTTAGATTTTGTTAGACATATTTTCCTCTCTGGAAAATTGATGAGGAAAGTATATACGTTTAACTGCCTGTTGTCAGGATTAGCTGCAGCTTTTCAGTGTCATAAGGAACTTCATTCCATACATGGGATTTTATTTTTGGAGCTGGGAGGGGTCGCTTGTTTGGAAACGTTAATAAAGGTTGTGGACGTTGTGGCCAGATCCTGTAATTTAAGTTATATTGGCACTAAAAACGATGTGTGCTTTGAGTGAGAATGAGCTGCTGAACATGGAAATGTTCAGTAGGGGCACCATGTATAATTGAACCACGACCTGCTAACATTCGTCTTCCATAGCTTAGCATCTACCCAGTTATGGAGCAGTTGCTGCCTACGCCAAGAACTTCTTAAAATGATGTTATAAAAAGGTCCTGCTACATTGTGTCCAGTTTGGTCCTGGACTTCCATATTCTATGAAAGACACACTTTTATTAAATTCTCAGTTTTGACATATATATTTTTTAGACTCTTGTGTCTAACTGCTAACTTGAGGCTATCATCAGCTCCAATAACACTTTATGGTTTTTAGCCCCAATTACTTTGAGAGCCGTGTAGGAAAGCATGACACATTCCCCACAGGAAACGACCTCATCCAAACTGAATTCCTTGTGGTTAAGAATAACAGTTGGTAACCTTACACTGCCATAAGGTGGAGGTGCAAAATAATCAACTATGGAGGACAGTAGATTACAGATTCTATTGTTTTCAGAAGCAAATGTTGATGCAACTATTAACGACTAAAGTCTGTTTCTCGCTCCTTTCTCCTTTCAGGCACTTCCTCTTTAAAACAGGTACAGGCACCACTCCTCTCTTCTCCACAGCCACTCCTGGCTACACCATGGCTACCGGCTCCGTCTACTCACCTCCCACCAGGCCATTGCCAAGGAATACCCTGTCCCGTTCTGCCTTTAAGTTCAAGAAATCCTCCAAGTACTGTTCGTGGAGGTAAGATGAAATGTTAATTCGTTTCTTCTTGTTTTTTTTTTTTTTACATCTCTTCAAGTTGTTCAGTTTATAAGAAAAAAGCCAGTTCAGTTCAGATCAAGTAAATCATCGCCCTGGCCCGACTTTCCAACTTTCCTCGGATATCTTTTTATGTTGCTGAATGAAGAGCAGCTCATGCACCCTGAGCTCGTGTCTCCCGTTCAGTCCTTCAGTCTTTTCATTGGCCCTACTGGTTTTCTGTACTCCTGGTTTTGCAGAATTTGCAACGTTGCATTTGTCTGACTATCTTGGTAGCTGTGAATGCTTCACATTGGACTCTGTTTCAACAATAAATAGTTGGAATAAGAGTTTTTGTTTTGGCTCATAATTTGTTTCTTAGCCTAATGTCTGTTGAATGAAATCCATTCAAATAAATTGAAGCACTGTTGGAACAAGGAACGCACTTAGGGTGATTTGACTTTTTTACTTTTGGTGAAAAGAATATTGTCCAAGAGACAAGAGTTTAAGTCTGAACATCTCTTGAGTCTTGGACAATACTTTACCCCCTATCAGTACAGAGAGGGTAAAGTAAATGACTATGAATACATTCGCCCCCTTAAGGTCAGCGATTGGTGGATGGATCTTTTGCTGTAATCACAGCAGTGTCGGATTGCTCATGAATCAGCTCTTTTCAGCTCCGTCCACAAATTCCCAATAGGATTGACATCTGGGCTTTGAGTTGGCCACTCTAGAAGAGTCACCTTGTTGTCTTTGAACTACTTCTGTGCTGCTTTCGCTGTATGCTTGAGTTTGTCGTCTTGCCAGAAAATACATCATCCAAATTCTCCTGCAGAAATAATATTAAGCCCCCCTCTCCATTGTCAAGTCTCACTCTAGCACATTGATATGGTTCGGTTCTCGGTTCTAGCCAAGTCGGGTTCCTCCACTGGCATCATGTTCATCACAGCGTGGGTGTGAATATGGACAGGTACGTGGGCTGCCTCAAAGAAGATGTGGTCGACGTTCCATTCTTGGACGGCCAGCTTCTCTGAAACCTCTCTGTTTATTTGTTTGTTGTGCTTTGGCCTCTCTAGTTTACACTGTATATAATCTTTAATTAATAAAAGGTTTAAAGCTCAAAGTTTGACGATGGAATTACTGATTTGCAGCTTGCCATCTTGCAAAGTAATATGGTCTCGTCGCATATTAAATCTGGTGGTTGAGATGTTGTTGTTGACATAAATCTACAGGCCAATCAACAAATGCCGTCTGCTGCCAATCAAATTGCTTGCACGCAACACCCAGCTGGGATTGGCTTACACCATCACTGAGTTGGTAACAGAAATCTGAACACAAACCAATCTGCCCATATGTGGGAAAAAACATCAGAACATCCAATACGAGAATGTTATATGAGCTGGGAGGCCACAACTGAATACCTCTAATCTACCAAAATGAGGTTTTGGTGTGGCTTAGCCAAAGCCTGGAGTTTTTTCTAACCCGTTTTCTGATTAGTACTTTTCAGTGAGTTGTTTTTAATATTTTGTTGTCTTCATGTTGTAATAATAGCAGGTTTTCCATTGAACAGACCAGGATGTTTGAGAACTTCTAGTCATGTTTTATTTTAACAGAGGTCCTTGCCTATTTTCATGAGATATGTAAACTATAATAACATTTCTAATCCTGTTTATGACACATATAATTCTGTCATAATCCCAGTCACAGTCATGGTGCAGTGACCTTTCTATCTTTCTTGCAGGAGGTGACAGTGTGACATTAATCTTGTTCCTCCTTATATGTTCTCAGGTGTACAGCCCTCAGTGCAGTTGGTCTGTCTGTCCTTCTCTCTGTTCTGCTCTGCTACTGCATAGGTAAGATGAAACACAGCCGTCTTCCTAATACAAAACACACAACTGCAACCCAAACAAATGTATAAAGGGAATGGACAGTGCATGCACACATCTGCTTATCTTGCAAAGCACTGAACCGCATGCTGCCAACGGCCTGCAAATTGACATATGCGAGTGTGTGAATGTGGGCTGGAGTGTGAAACCATTTGGAGTTGTCAACAAGACAAGAAAAGCTCTATATAACCGCAGCCTTATTTCCCATTCTGTCTGTCCTTTGTTAAGTCCACCTCATCTTTCTTCTGCTCTTGAGTTTCATCCTCTTCGGCCCCAGCTGTATTCTACCATTCATCTTCTCTTCCTGCTGCCGTGGTTGGTTGTTACTTTGTGCTGTGAAACCAGACAAACATCCAGGATCTCGCTTTTCCTCGGTGGCACCTTCCCGTTTTCTTTTGTCATGGCCTTTCTTCTTGGTGTAGTATTCTAGGCTAATATGTTGGGCAGACAGGATTACTTCCTACATATGGAACTGCAGTTAAAGCCTAAAATTCAGATGCACACAAATTATTTGTGTGTACTAAATGTCAAAATAACAAAGGGGAGACTTTTTTTTTAGATATTCTCTGCAGTTTACCTGTGTGGTATTCGTGTGCCGTTTGCTGCAGTATTGAATTCATTGAAAAGTGATGCAGCATTATTTTCACATGATGTCTTGTCTGCCGGCGGCAATGAAACAAAGTTCCTCCATTAAATTTTGAAGAGTCTTTACATTTATATAATTGACATTTGCTGGTGCAGCATTGATATTTCAGCCTTTTCAACAGTTCAGCCTGAGTGGCTGTAGACTCTGTTAGGTTGGGACTGAATTGTGATGTCTAATAATGTGATGTTTCCTCAGTAGTTACTGTGGATAATTGATCTCATAAAGTTTTCTACTTTTGATTCAGATTATTGGAATCGATTGTGTGTTTTTATTGTTTTTCTTTTATCCTTGCAAATGGGATTTTGAAGGTTGATAACAGTGTGTAGGTTCCTGCCAAAAATGATAAAAAAGACTCAACAGAGATCCAGGAATCCAAGATAAGGAAAAGAATTGATCTCTTCCTGTTCATTGCTTTAAATGGTCAGGAAGTTTTTTAGCTTGTTTGTGAGACAGACTTGAAGGATCAAAATAAAATGAATCAAAGAGAGATAAAAGTGGTATTTATTTTAAAGGTCATTGATTCCCAGAATGAACCAAACCAATTATGATCGCCGCTCAGATGGTCCTTGAACTTAAAAATCTCTTGCCTTAGGCTGGTGTGTGTGTGTGTGTGTGTGTGTGTGTGTGTGTGTGTGTGTGTGTGTGTGTGTGTGTGTGTGTGTGTGTGTGTGTGTGTGTGTGTGTGTGTGTGTGTCTCTTAATGTGTATGTTTGGATGTGAAGCAAATGTGTCCGTATTTCATCAGCTCTATCGTTGGGTGTGTTTTAGACTCCCTCATGCAGCATTGTTATTTTTTTTTTTTCTATTGAAAGCATCTGTTGAGGGTTTCCTGGGATTTTATGGTTGACAGATGCACACACTCTTGACACACCAACACACACATATCTGTTTCACACACTGGTGAACACACTCATGTAAAAACAGATTTATGCAGTTATCCGTACACTACAGAGACACAAGAGAACAGGTGAGAGATTTAAAACCACGCACATGAACACAAGCACAAAGAACAAGTTATGCTCTTGAGGGGGTTGAACATTTTGATTGGCACATGCATTCAGCTCAAAAACACACAACCACACACACACACAAAGAGGGAGAAATAAAGAGAGACTAAAAAAAGAGACAGAGCCTCTGGTCGAGGCAAATTGACATAATGACAACATTTGATTCATGTTTTTCATAGCTGCGTTTGTCTGTGTTTTGTGCGCGTGTGTGTGTGTGTGTGTGTGTGTGTGTGTGTGTGTGTGCGTGTGCGTGCCTCTTCCCAGAGGCCTCTGTAAAGGTGTATTTGAGTTCATATGTCCTCTTTATTCTGAGTAACTGATTTATTCAATTAATTTGTTCTTTCTCAACAATAAACAGCTGTTTTATGTTGAAAATGGACAAAAGTGGAAGTTTAATAAATCAAGTGATTTCAGATGGTAAATTATCCATCCATCCATCCATCCATCCATCCATCCATCCATCAAAAATGTTTCTATTTGACATAAGTTTCTTCACCTACATAAAATCTTGTGGTCTACATAACTAAACTGCACATAAAGACTTTATTTAATCATATTTTAAAACTTAGTGATCTTTACTGATGCTCTTGTGGAAAAGAATACAAAAAACATTTTAGTCCATTTTTTTACATTAACAACAATTAAATAAAATTCTCATGACAAGAAATGTCTCAACATAAACGACAAACGATATGATAAAAGCCCATTTAAAGATGCCTGCATCAAAGTGCTGCCGTTTTTTTTAACAGTTCACTAAATGACATCTGTCATGACAAAGTAAACGTAACTGAAACAGGAAGTTCCTACAAGGTACCAAAGGTTGTGTGATTAGTGACCATCCATGCTTAAAGGAGAGATAGGTGGCGCTATTTCTGATGATGACGGGCAGCGTATTACAACTATTATAAATGATTTATTTCTTCATTCATTCATTCATTCATTCATTCATTTATTCGCTCATCCATTAGAAACAAATGGCAACATATTCAACATTTTTTAATTTACTGGGAGTTTTCATGAACTTGTTGGTTATTTATTCATTTGAATCCTTATGTAAATTTAACTAAGCAGTCATTGAATCTGAAAATGTGCTTTAAAAAAAAAAAGCTCCACTGGTTACAATCTAGTATGACAGTTACCATGGCCAGTAATCCTCTTATTTCCTCCCTCTCAAACACACACACACACACACACACACACACACACACACACATGCACGCACACACAAGTCCCTGTTTATTACCAAACACTGTCCCATGACTCTCTGCTCCTGCCCTCCCCTGCGAAGGGTTAAAGCTACCTGGAGCTGCAGGACTGTAGTGCAATGAGGGAAAAAGTGAATGTGCAATAACACTGAGGATTCACAACGGTTACTTTCTTTGCTAATGTTCTCTTGTGGAGTCGGCTGGCCTTTCAACACCCCACCATCAAAGCCAAACTCATTTGCTTTTGCTTCACGGTTCTGTCCTGTTCAAGAAAAGAGTCCGAATACATACCTGAAGTTGATATTTTAAAAAAGACGAATGTTTATGTTAACCTTCCAGGCCTACACTATAGGAAATGATTGATACAGTTAATTGCTTCTTAATCGTACATGGTGTTATGCCGTTTATGATTCATCTCCTTTCAGATCATATTTCAAATAAACATGCAAACACAACCCCCCACATTAAGGATCACTCGGCCCTTTCACATCATACGAGTCAATCCTTCAGGATCACAGGCCTCGTCTGCTTACACAGCATGCAGAGATTGTGGAAATAAAGGATTGTTGCTTACAACATGAACCATTCACCTGACCACTGATCCCCAAAGTCTATGTCCTGCTTTTCAAATTGCATTCGCTGCTTTAAAAACAGGCAAAGTTATTGTGCACTACGCCCAGCACGCTTTATCTGTATACCTTCATTTCCTCACACTTACACCTATCCCACACACTTTTTACAGCTCCATAAAAATAGAAGAAGCAAAAAAGGATGCAGTGTAACAGCAGCACCAGAGAGCAGTTTCTGCTAGCCCCTATAAGTCAGGATGTGCTGAATTGCACACTGCGTTCTTGCACTTGGCACCTCTCTGAAATGAAAGCAGCCTTCTTTTCTAGGACCTGAGCAAAACAGAGCTGGTACCTTGAAACAAACACAATTAGTGGCCAATATGTGTCACTTTATTCTTAACAGTCCTCGCATAGTTGACCCCTCCTTTCAAATCTTTTGTGTCGCGTTCAGCGGTGTCCCATCAGCGTGATGGTTTTGGTCAGGCCTGTCAGTCTCACATTAGCTCTTTTTTATTTTCAAGAGCAGGGATGCCATTGCACATCTCTTGCACTCACTTGCTTTTCAACTGCACATCAGGGGAACTCAGTGGGAAGCATCTTCCAGATGGACAACGTGTGTTTCTGTCTCATTTAATCTTGCCTGAATGGGAGACACAGTTATTTTCAGCCATTATTGTTGCTTTATATTAGAACCATCTGTTGCAATGCTGTATACAACGGTGCTACTTTCAGCGATTTCAGCAAACGCCCGAGTAAGTCGGTTGGTTGGTTATGTACGCTACAGCTACCTTTGAGCAGAGCAATTCTCTTAGTGCACATGGAGCAATTAACTTCTAAGATAAATTGACACTGTCTAAAGCTTAATTATCGTTCCAACCTTTCCAGGGTATGTCCTTTGAAGAGTAGTGATAAAGCTTACAAAGGGTAGAAAAGTAACGTGCAATGCATAGAGTGAAACAGAAAAAGAAACAAGCGACTCTGTTCATCATGTGAGGTTGTGGCCAGAAGGAGGGGAGAGAGGGGCGTTCAAGGTCAACACAGGATGCACTAAAAATATGCATCATATTAAAAGAAAAGTATTTGGCCCGGTATTTTCAGACTTAATGAAGCAGATCTTAGTTGGACAGCACTCTGTACAGCATACACAGACCCAGTTAAAGGAAACTGCACCTTTTTTTTTTCTTTTCAGCTCCAATTTTTTTTCTTGCACTTTATTTCTTGATTATGCAAAAAAAAAAAAAAAAACTAGAAGAAGGTCACTTTCTTTGGACCTTGATAAATAAAGGAAAATACTTCTAGAAAAAGGCAAACCAAGTGATGAATTGAAAATTATAAACCATTTTTCAAACTGATCAGATAATAGTTGATAACAGTTTTTTTCCTCTTTGCGCTTCAGCACAGAAAGTGAGATAACAAATGTGTTCCCGAAGGAACAGGGGAAGCAGAGACTCTCCAGTGACTCATCTTTAACTTTCATAACATCACTGATTTTGCTCTACATGTGGTGGAAACTTTGACAAGAGTTTTTTTTTTCTTCTTTTCTGGGTTCATTGTGCAGGTAAAAAATCAGGTCAACTAATTATTACAAAAAATAAACCCATGTAGGTCCAATTTCTGCATTCTAAAGGTTATTGTCATTATCAGTCCAGTAGAATTAGACTAGTAATGTTGAGCTTTTTTAATAATATGAATGAAAGCATGTAAACATAGACAACAGAAAATAGAAATTCAGTGTTTAATGCTGCTGGACTGATGAGGCGTAGCAGAACAACAAAGCCCCTCCCTGCTGCTGCCTCTTCTTAAATACCACACTGGGTCGACTCTTCATCAGCAGACAGCAGAATTCATCATACATAATGTTTTGAGGAAGGGAATCCTAGTTGGAAGTGAGACGTGTGTGATTGAACGGAAATAGGCCTTGTAGGTGTGGATGGTTCTGTTCGATCTGATGGGCGCAGAATCACTTTTCTCCCTTTTTGTTCTTATCGTTCCATTTCCTCTCTACGCTGTTCTCCCTTTGCAATCATTTTGCTCCTCTCTTCAACCCATCTCTCTGTTTCTCTTTCGGCCTTTGATTGTATTACCCTCCACTGTCCTGTCTGGCCCTCCCTCTGCTTAACCCTTTTGTTTTGCTTCGCCTCTGCAGCTATGCACTTGTTCGGTTTGAACTGGCAGCTTCAGGAGAGCGAGAGCTACGGAGCGTTTGAAAACGGAGGAGGAGGAAGAGACACGACTCCCAACACCTTTGTGCTCTCTACAGACAATGGTGAGTTCAGCTGAATTCAAACGGTTTCCTCTTTGTTCATACAGGGAGACTAATCAACGTTTTCATTTGAACTATTTGAAAAACAAAACCTTTGACGTCAACTAAAAAAATATATATTTCACCAGAGATTTATTTGGAAAAACATCTGCCTGTTGTGTTGCAATTTTACTCATTTCTAATTAGTAATGATGGAACAGCTGTGATCTTTTCAGCCAGATCAATGCGTTTAATTGTTCCAGTTAAAAGAGAATGGTTTCTCTCCACAGTCGCCACATGCTTACGCAGGAGGAGGGATTGCTGTCAATTACAGAATGTCATTTCTGGGGCCATCTTACACCAGTTGCCATTATGAAATCAGATGACTTTGATTGTTTTGAATGACAATCAGCACTCAGTTGGACTCTAGGTACTTGAATCCAAATGTGACAATATGACTGGATTGTACATCTATTAGCTTCGCCTGATTGGTTAGATGTTAAATTAAATGCATTTTAATGTCTGGAAGTGGTGAAGATAACTTGCAGCCATTTAAAGAGAGCATCAGAATGGGGACAAAAAAATTCCCAAATGGTGGCATGTTAAAAGTATATCTGCTTTCAGGTTTACAGAACACAGGCCAGAAAATAGATAATATCCTGTGAGGAGCTGTTGTGGATAAAAGGGGCAGACTGGTTCAAAATGGCACAAACTCAAGAGTAGTCCAGGTCTGTTAGAAGGTTTTAAAACATTTCTGAAAGCTCAACCTGTCAAACCTTAAAGCAGACGGGGTAGCGTGGTAGAAGACCACACCGGGGGCCCAGGGCACCGGGGGCCACCACTGTTAACTAAGAAACAATAGCGGTTTGGAAAAGTGGCTCATGGTTCTATCAATCTCAATTCAGGTGAGACATTCAGACAGTAGGGCCAGAATTTGGCATAAACAACATAAAAACATGGCTCAGTTCTGCTTTGTATCAGTTGCTGTCCAGGGTATTTCCAAGATGAGCTCCAAAAAAAATAAATAAAATACCACAACTTGACATCTGCTGATTGTGTCCATCCATTTGTACCCATCTTCTGATGCCTACTTCCAGCAGGATGAGGTACCACGTCATAAAGATCAAATCTCCAATCACTGTTTCTTGCACAATTTTGAAAAATGTGCCAGAATTAAGGCAGTTCTGAAGCATGGAGGGGAGGCGAGGGGGGGTAACTTAATATCAGCAATGTTTACCTAACAAAGGGCAGGTAAACCTCATGATGTTTACCTGCAATTCTTTTTTCTAAAAGGAATCCAGTCCTTCCTTTTAGGACTGGATTCAATTGAAATACATTTGGAACAGTTTTGTTCTGCTGAATATAAAAGAGACTTGGAATGTGACAATTATTATGCAGAAGGATAATTGTTACCATATTCCCTTCTGCTGTCTTTCCTCTGTCATTATTAGAATTCACATCTTAATTGAATTGGTCAAAAGAAAAGAAAAGACTAGAAATGAAACATCCAAGCATATTACACTAATTTCCCAGTAAGCTTTTTTTATTGGATCACATAAAAGTTTAAAGACTCTGTATGAGAATTGGGTGATCACACTTTTACAATCACTTTCCCTGATGGGCTGAATATGCTGTGTTGCTTTGTAGATTAGTTTTTCCATCCACATGTCTGAAGTTTGAGAGAACCAAAGCTGCTGCCTCTATATGCTTTACATTAAATGCGTTCATGTCAGCTTTAACCAGGTTCTCAGCTGGGTGTGTTTTTGACTTTGCAGGCAAGATGTTTCTTCTAGAGAACAACACCATAGATACGGGAGAGTCAGACGTGGGGAGGCGAGTCATACAAGACGTCCCGCCAGGTTAGTTTTCACATCAGTGTTTCTGCAGTGTGACTGATGCAGGTTCTGTGTATCTGAATCAATAGCTATCTGAAAAAGTTTTGTCATTGCCAGATGATCAGTTGAACCTTTACCAGGAAAACCAAGACCCAAAATGAGATGTGTGCTTTATGGAAGAGTGATGTACCCGGTCATGACGTAGCAGAAAACCGTGACTTCCATCCCAGAAGTCTCAGTTCACACACTGTGCTGTACGGCAATGTGACGCATACTGTACTACAAAAACGTCACAAGACAAAATTCGCTTAATTTAAAAATGTGGCAGCAGCTTAATGTTCCATTCTTCTAGTCAGTTATCACTCATCAGTGATAAACATCTAACTAGTTACACGCAGTTGTGTTATTTAATTAAAACCTTGAAGTGTGTGTGATTCATTACAGCTATTATAACAAACTTGTAATTAGAAGTACCCCTGAAGTTGTCCATCATCACAAATTGCATTAAATTGAATTATCATCTTTGAGTTTTGTAGACAAAGTTTGTTGCCTTTCACTCCCCTGGAGTTCTCACTGTGGGGACTTGAGGTTGACCTCATGCCGTGACGACACACTGATCTAATAATGACTTCAGAATCAGATCAAGATAGAAGCTCCTTCCCTCCCAAAGCGAGAGGATTTCATCTCTCTGAGTTCCTGATTTTAACCATTTGTGATGTGAGATTATGGTTTAATATTAGCACATCGTCACCAAGATTGATTCAAATTTAGAAAAGTTATTCAAATGTAACTCCATGAAATTAGTGACATTGCTTTGATAAAGTAGGTTTTAAAGAAACCTATCCAACACTAGTGGGAAATAATAACTGTGACCCTGTTGATCTGCCTTAAACAAATGGATTACAAAGCTTGGAAAATCATTCCCAACAAAAAATGCAAATAAGAAAAAAAAATCACATTCCGTGATAATTAAGCTATTAAGAGTATCATTGGTTTTTACAACCCTTATCTCAATATTTTGTTCGTTTAAATACTGTCGCCACAGTTTGAGTCACAGTTAAATGATTTTTTTCCTCTTTGTTTGTTTCCTATCCCAGGTGTGTTTTGGAGGTCCCAGCTGTATATTGACCAGCCTCAGTTCTTGAAATTCAACATATCAGTCCAGAAAGATGCTCTGGTTGGAGTGTACGGACGGAAAGGCCTCCCACCATCACATACTCAGGTTGGTCACCTGGACACCTCAGACATTATCGGACGTGTCCTGTAAAAACGGTTTTGCTCACATGTGGTGGTGAAATGTTTAACACTGCTTTAGACTGAGCCTGATTCTATCTCAATACAAATCATTTGAGGATTTAAAGGAAAAAAGTTAGACCTTCTGCCAAGCATCACGTTGTTCTTGCCTAAATAACTCTTCATCTTCACCTCAAATCAACAGCTATACGTTTGAAATGTCAAGAACAATGAGTGTTTCAATTGCGATTGAACCCAGATACTCATGAAAGCTAGCGCCATAATGGACAAAGCAGGCTAACACAACATTAGCTGCTGGAATGGCTCTGACCTCAGTTTATAATTTGCAAACTATGCTTAAAACACCGTGTCAGGAAACCAGCCAGTTTATATAAGCGCTACCATTTTTAGACAAAAGCAGTGATCAAACATCCAATCAGATTTGTGTCGGGAACACGCTGATGGCTACAAGAAATGTCAAGTTACTTTTTAACATGCTGAGCGTCATTTAACCAAAACTTAGTGGGGATGTTTGTATAAATATGTTTGAATTTGGATTGAATCATTTGACTGTGTGGGGATTAGAGAAAATCCACATTAAATCTGAGAGCAATCAAACTCTTCAATCCTCCCCTCTCAACGTTTGTTGAAGATTTAGTTTGCAAAATTTTTACTTTGCTTACACTCTAACATCTCTGAAGACTTCCAGTGTGAAAAATTATGGGATTTGATTTCATCTCTTTGAAAGTATGGAAGAAATGCAATAAAAGTATATAAAATATGTGTGCCCAATTACTTAAATCTTGTGTTCTTGCTTCCTCTCTTGCTTCGCCTTCCTTCCCTTTTTTGCCCATCTTTCTTTTTTTTCCTTATTTCATCCTTGTATCATTCCAGTCTTCCTTACTCGTGACCCTTTTTTGCTTTTTTAATCATTTTCTTATTTCTTTCCCTTTTTTGTGACATTACTTTTTTTCTTTCCCTCTTTTCTGTCTTTCCAGTTGTCCTTCCCTTCCTTAGTCCTTTTTTTCCTTTGGTGTTTTATCTTTCTGTCCTTCGTTGTGTAAAAAGCCCAGGTCTGTCCCTTGTGTTTGTCCCTTTTTTTGTCCCTTATCTTCCTCTTTCCTACCTCTGTTTCCCCCCTCATCCCTTTCTTTCATCCATCTCCTCCCTTCATTGTCTTTTCTTTCTGCCCTTCACTGAAAATGTGACAGCAGAGCTTATGGTCTAATTTGGGTTCTCCACAAAGACGGCTCAAATCCACACTAGAAAAACACAAAACTGCTTATTTTTTAATGCTTCATGTTCTAGATGGTTTGCTTTAGTGAAAGACATTTTAAAACATTGAATCATCTTACATATGTGCTTTGAGTTGTGCTATGATTGAGTAAAACTGAAAGAGGAAACATTAAACTGTGTTTCCTGATTTAGTGGATTGGAACTCCAGGGATGTAAGGCTGCAAAAGCAAAGCATAGTTCGTCTACATTTCAGCCCTTTGGAAAAAAGATTAGCATTCCTATCAGTGTTGGTGTGCTTCTTCTCCATTTCCCACACTTCTCCTGCTTAGAGTCATGTTGTGCGTTAGGAAGAAAGGGGATTTTATGGTTGCTTATGTTGCTGTGTTTGAGATGAAAACTCAAACAGAAATGTTGACGCAGAACATTGTAAATGACTGTATGCTACTGATCTGACTATAAAAATGAAGCAAAATGAAACACATTTGAAGGAGACTTAATCAGTACTTCACTTAAAGCTGAACTTCATCTGGAAGAGATTAAGGGTGTTACAGTTATGCTGGTCATAAGCCTAAACTAAGGTAACTGCCAAATAATTACCTCCTCCCCCTTTCTTCTTGTCGAGCCTGGATTCTGTCTCAGCTGACATTGGATATGAGCCAGTGTACACCCTGGATATGTCTCCATTTCACCACATGGCCATTACAGCCAGACACTCACCCACGCACACCGACATGCAGGGACACAGGAAACTCCCAGTCCACACAGAAAGACAGACGTAGTCACAGCCGGAATCATCCGATGTGCAGGAACGGGTGCTAATCGCTTCATCTGTGGTCCATCGCTCCACCCAGGTGCCACGAGCAATGAGGAGTACGAAAAGTTAGTGTGAGTTCGTCATTATAACGGTCGCATTTTGAAACCGCTTCAAGAAAGAAATCATGTTGGAGATGGGAGCGAACCTCAGCGACGGCTCGGTCTGTGTTTTTATCTGTACGTCTCAACGATTTCGCCACATCAGAAAGATGACTGCCGCTGATTTGATGCCGTGAACAAACATCCACGCCTTCAGTGATTCATTCGACCTTTCATTCGTTTAACACACACCAGAGCTTCTTTTTTTTTTAAATAAATAACACTTCCTCTCTCAAAATGTCAAACCCTCCAATCTTTTAACTGAGTCCAGGTTAAATGTGTTTTGTGGTTTTAGTTAAAAGGGAAGCTGAACAGCTTCATCTGCCTCTTTATTTGATGCACTTACATCTGTGTGTGGCCAAAAATAGTTTCCCGCAGCGCCACTCCTAATTCAGTGTTGGCCTATTCCTAATGGATAAATAAGCATATATACGTCCTTGCCCTCACCAAATAGTCAAGTTCTCATTATTCCTTCTAAGTTTGCAGATTTTAGCTTTTAAATATAAAACTTTCTTAAAATAAACTTAACAGCTTCAACTTTTTGATCCAAAGATTTAAACCAAAAGAAATGTTGCTTTTGAATGAATTCACATGCAAGTAAATGCGCAGCTAGTTGAACCCAAAAGCACCGAAGGCATAATAAGTAAACCTTTAGAGAAGCAGATCAATTTAGTGTTTGATGCCATATGCATAAATGGATGTTGGGTTACAGCAATTTTGGATATACTTCATCTCCAGCTGTGCTTTTTGCTGAGGGGCCTTAGTTGCAATTAGATCCACATTTCTTGTAAGACACGTTTCATAGTTATATTTTGTAGCTATTTGTGGGTTTTTTTTTTTAAATTGTCTGATGTAAGTTTGAAATGTTCCATCAGTGGTGGCACTGCTCTGGCCTTGAGGCAAGAAAACCACGATACTAAAACCCTAATGTTTTAAAGATGGAGCGATGGAAGTACGGGGGAACGCAGTTTTTCTCCTCTTTGTTAACAGATTCTCCTTTGTTCTTGGAGCCCAGCTCATCATGGCCGCTTCACGTTCCGGTGGTGGAAACGTGATTCTCGCAGGGGACTCTCAGTTGCTTCGGAGTAACTGCGACTGCTTCTTTCACAATTGACACGCCTTGTCCTTAGTCATATGTGTTTTACTGGTTGATGTGTCGTTGTCAAAGTAATGCAGTTTAGTTCATTGCAGTTGTATTTATATCGCATCAAAACACAAGACAAGATGTCTCAAGGGACTTTGCAGCACAAAACAAGTCAATTCTCTATATAATTCAAGTGCTGTGAAAAGGATTACTTGAGTTTCCTTTTTTTGTCGCACATAAATGTTTCAGATCATCAAACACAATTTATTGTAAGACACAGAAACCTGAGTAAATACTAAAAGTAGTTTTAAAAGGATGATATAATTTTCTAAGGGGTAAAAAGCTTTCCAAAGCAGCCTCGCCTTGTGAGAAAAAGTTATTTCCTCCTAAATCAAGTAAGTGGTTCTGCCAGCCTTGCCAGCAACAGCTGCCATTGAGTGTTTATGAGAAGCGGTAATAAGTGGTTCACATCACTGTGGAGACATTTTTATTCCTCTCTTTGTTGCAGAATTTTTTAAAATGAATATTTTTGGGTTTTTCATGCGCTTGCTTACGTCGTTCAGAGGTGGACTTCCTGGTTTGCTGAATTATTGTCCTGAATAACCCAAGGCCACAGTCTGATGGCTGGAGTCTCTCCCTGTGAATTGCTGAGAATAGATCACAGTTCTTGGTTCCATTTGTTATAGCAAAACATTAAGATCCCAAAACTGCAACGCATTTGACTGTCAGAATGTTGTTGTTTTTTTCCAAAGTGTTACACCAGATGTAGCAGGACAAGAATCTTCCAGAAAGTCCCACTTTTATGTCATCACAGGATGTTGCCTACTCTCTCCTTCTTGTTGTTACATCAACAGTGGCCTGACCTGAGAGAAGTGAAGCTGCAGAGCTTTCCATGTTGTCCAGATTTCTCCTGAGTAATCAATGCATTCTGGGAGTAGCTCTGTTAGGCCAGCAACTCCTGGAAAGCTTTCCCACTGTTCCATGTGGATAAAGACTTAGTGTTTTTCCTTTGGGTCTCAAAGCCACTGAAATAAGTTTGTAGCCCCTTCCAGACTTCTAGATGCCTGTGACTTTCTTTCTTATGTTTTCTTGGATCATTTTTGTTTTTACTCAGGTGATCAGACACTCAGGTTTGAAATAAAATTTTATGTGAAAGTTTAAAGCGTTGAAATGTGACAAAAACGGCAAAAGTAAAACAAATCTGTTGAGTAAGCATACCCCCCACCCCCCAAACACACACACACACCAAATTCACAAATAAATTCAGTCCAGATTGATTCAGTTCATTCTGATACAATTCATCCTACAGTAGGAGTAAACTATGGTTCAGTTAATCCAGCTATAATACAATACAATGAGACAAATTTGGTTATGAAATGCCATTTAATAAGTTTTCTCTGGAAGCCTTTGGAATTGAATTGACTAATTAACTTTGCAGCAATCCCACATTCTATAAATAAGCTATGGATAGGCAGCCGTCTGCCTTCACTGACTGGAAGTTAAGGGGGAACCCAGACAACATGGAAGCACTGGGCCATGAGTACATTCACTGGGAAAGGAAAGGAGAAGACAAAGCCTTTGGAAGCAAACGCACAGAGAGTAGAGAGAGTAAAAAGTTGTAAAAACAGGTGGTGGAAATGTCCTCCAGCAGTTGAATCCCATAGCAGCATAGCTCCAGAAATAACCCAACCTAATAGTAACCTAAGCCAGTCCAACTACAAGATTTATAAAAAAGGAAAGTTTTAATCCTAGTCTTAAAAGTAGACAGGGTGTCTGCCTCCTGGACTACAACTGAGAGCTGGTTCCACAGTTTTAGCTGCTATTTTAAACCAGGAATCGTCGGTAAACCCGCAGTCAGGCAGGGGAAACTATCTTTTTACACTCTGTTGATGCAGTCATAAGTCAAGCTAGAATTTTGACCATATCCTTATTTTAATGTGTATTTTCCAGCTTAAACCTGCATGTCTTAATGCAGGCGTAAGCATTTAGGTTGATGTATAAGTATTTGTTTAGAGGATTGTGTGGAGATCAACACCTGAAAGTAAGGTGTGCATTATTAGTGGGCAGCTTCTACTTGAAAGGCAAAATGACGTCCACAAAAAGAGATTTATCCCATCCATCCATCCATTCACCTGTCTATACCCATTTATCCTTGCTGAGTCGTGGGGGGCTCATATGTATCTTCATTGATTATTGGGCAAGAGGACAAGACAACACATAGACACACAGGACAAACAAAACACAACATGACAACGTAGAGAGGGACACGTTAACTTAGCCATGATTTTGGACAGTTTTAAGAAGACCATGGTCTTTGTATGCAGGGCAATCCTCCATGGCATGTAGTTAAAAACTCCACTGTGTGTCTACCCAGACTGTGTCACTAACCAGAGTGAGTAACTTGCTAGGTACTTTTAACCAGTTATCTCAGCTGATAAATCCTCTTCCGGCTGGTTTGGTTGAGATTATCTGAGGTTTTCAGAAATGATGACAGAGCTACAGATTATGATGTTCCAGAAACATATGTCGCCTTGGTCAGACTGTGATTTATCTGTGTTCTTTAAATAAAACAGAACAGTCACTGTCATGACCCAGCTTCAATTCCCACAGCAAAGAGACTCAAACCATGCGTAAAAGTTAGAAAACAATGGTTTGTCTTTTCTAAATATAAAATACCAGATCAAGATGGTTCCATGCTGAAGTTTAGAGCTAAAACAAATCAATGGTATCATTGAGTCAGTCATCAAATATGCTTAAGGGAAAGCTAACTTTTTCCCCAGTGTTTTGATGGGAAGATTCACTAAAAATATATTTTGATATTAGAAAGATGTTGCTGACTCAACTGGCCAAATCAATGTTCATCTGTTCCTGACTCGAAAGCATAAACACGCCAGCAGCCCTTCAGATCAGACGGAAAAAAACACAAAACATGCAGCTTGCAAGAATTCCTCAAAACCTCACTTCTTTCCTTTCTTTCATACAGCCCGGGTCACCAATTTTCTTTGTGTAATTGCTTTTTGGTTTCTGGTTTGTAACTGAGACTCTTTCCAAGAATCACATTTTTGATGTGAATCACCACTTGGTACAATTCCTATTCAGATATTTAAGGTCTAAATTCAATCCAACCCTTTACATTCCAGCCTAGTCATTCTCACATTCAGATTCAAGTACATGTTGTACAATACAATCCCCGTATAACTGTGTAGCAGTTAGTCAGTAGAGAATGTAATGCCATTTGGTAAAAACTTGTTTCTCTAAAGAAGCCCAGCTCGTTGTATTGAGACACTTTGCAGCAATCCCTTCTCAAACATGTGGTTACGGTGAAAAGTTGCCACTCTATTTTAACACCAAAACACATACAGCAGGACAAGGCTCCCTGTGATTGGCCTAAAGCACATACGACTCACACAATTCAAAACACCCTCTCATGCTTTGACATATAAGACTCTTAATGTAACTCCCATTTAATTGTTTTTATTAATCTTAGCAGTTTAATTCAGTCACTGCCATCCCCCATGAGGCAAAAACCACTGACATATAATCACTAGTCTAGTCCAGTTGGGTCAAAGTGCATCCAGGTCTTTTACATTGTGTTATAAAGTCCAAATGCTTCTGTTTTTGGACCTTCCTCTCTTCCTCCTACCTGGGGGCTCCAGGTTGTAACTTGCCTGGTGATGTAATTAAGATTATCTTTTTGTGTAGATTTTTTTCTGCCAGATTTACTTCTGGTATCCCTAGAAAATATTCTCTCCCAAAACTGCTGGTTTGTACATTATCAAAAATATACAATTGAGACAATTGTTTAAAAAGGTTTTATAGTTCATTGTGGGTGTCATTGTTTTCCACCATCTTTGTAAAGGAGCACAGATTTACATTGCTGATGAAAGTTTGTTGTTGATGCTGAATCACTAGAGCTGCAGGTATTACTTACTTAGCCCCACTGCTTGTTCACAGTGCTGCTCAGGCTGTTTAAAGACTTCATTGTTTCTGGTAATCCTAAATATCTTGAGATAGCAGATCATCTGCGGTGTCTAAGCCATTCAGTTGAGTTTGGTAAATTTATTTCTTCTTCTAAACAGTTGATATGTTCCTGTTACTAGCAAACACCTTCACAGACTGCTTTGCATTTCAGGCCCTCATACCATATAAATGTTGGATGATCCTGAGGAGCTCACTGGACACTCCATAGTGTTGGAAAATCTTCTGCATTGTGTTTCTACCAAGGTTATCATAGGCCTTCATGCAATCTATGAAGCCGATGTAGAAAGGGAAATTCCAGTCCAAGAGTTCCTTCGCTTAAAAGCAAAGTGATGCAGTTTGTTTTTTCATTTTTAAAGGCATCTTGCTTATCTTATATCCTTTGTTCTAAAGTTTACATACAATTCTTTGGTATTTGATAGAAGTGCTTTTTGGGTCAAACATTTTATTCCACCCCAATATGGTATTCTCAGGCTTACACCAATTCCCCCTTTTTCTTCTAAATGCAACAGTGGTCATTATGGCCAATCACTTCAGGTTTAATTTGACCAGAACATTGGACAGGTCTCCAAGACTTAACATATTTGTCCCTGAATGTCCATCATGGTGAATGATGCTTGTATTTCTGCGTATTTGTGTCTTCCAGTATGATTTTGTTGAGCTGCTGGACGGTAGTCGGCTCATTTCCAAAGACAAGCGAGCGCTCAGCGACGCAGACTCTATGTATGCGTACATCGCCGGTTTCCACGAGGAGGAGCCTGGCGCTCGACACACGCGCTCCGTCAACGTGCTGGAGGCCGGCTTCATCCAGTACCTGGACACAGGAATCTGGCATCTGGCATTTTACAACGATGGGCGGAACACAGAGCAAGTCTCCTACAGTACGATCGTCATAGGTAGGATCCGTGTGTGTGTTAATGAGTACTGTGCGCCTTTGAGTTTTGTTAGCCTGGCTTTTTGTAAACTAACCTTTTAAGTTTTGAGTATATTTTTTATTTCAAAGAGTGATGGCAGCCTGCAAACAATTGTTTTAGGCGAATGTTGAAGGATCCTCCGCAATCTGTCTCTCATTCTCCCATTGAAGTGCATATAAAAGGCCATGGGGGGTATGTCACACAAACGTCTCATCTTCTGATTAAATATCTACTTAACTACTGATCGAAGCCCACTTATGCAATGCTCACTGGAACCTGCTGATTTTATATTGCAGTGGCACAATGGAGGATTTTCTGCTTTAACATCCCAAAACTCAAAATGCCTCAGGAATAATAAAATGTATTGTCCCTATTGTCCTGGTAAGCTTGTTCCAAAACTGGCTCAATGACATAAAGACTGAATTTATTCTTGTGTAGCGCTCTTCTGCTACAAATGTGAGCTGAATTCACATCCCCAGCATGAGCTAGACCATGTTCAGCTCACTTTTCATAAGCAAGTCTTCTGAAATAACTTGCATGCGGGCAGATTTAGCTTGACGGTGTTTGAAATCAGGATTTAACCAGTGTTAATGTGATAAAACTGACTTTATAGTTTGAAAACCAAATATTGTATAGAATACAAAACAACTGGGACTAAGCATTTCCTGTTTTCAGTGGCATATGATTCCTCATGTAATTTCTATTTACTGACTGCCAGAATATTGAGATTTTTTTTAAAAACCTTTTTGTAACGCTGAAGCGTCTTTGGTCATCCTGCTGAATTTCAGTCGGTCATTAATTATTTTTTGAACAGAAGAAAATTGTTCACTTCCCATTTTTATATGAATGTTGTCCAAAGGTCTTTGATTCACTTACTGTCTTAAGTAAGAGATTCTTATTGGACTTGCACCCTTTGAATATCATGAAAAATGCTCTTTCATCTGTAATATTTGAAGCAACAGCTTCCTTATATTAGAGGTCATTTTAATGCAAACGGAGTTAAGCATTGCACAAGAGTACAATCATTTCTGCTCATTCTTTACAGCAATCAGTCTGATAATTACTAATACATAGATTTTAATTGGACTGTTCTTGCAGCTTTTCCTGAGGGTATGATAAGACTATAATCAAAATCGTGCTGCAGTGTAAATGTAAATATAAGTAAATACTGCTTTTTGTTACAAAGTTAATGTGGTTATCTGCACAATATTCTGAAATCATAACTTTCCAGCACAAAAACTGAAACCACAAACACAAGATGTGCCATCTGCTGATTGCAGACTGTATGCTGTATGTGCTCTCCGGTTATGTGCATGTGTGCCACTCGTACACATATGCAGCTGTGTTTTCTTAAAACACACACACACACACTTACAGGTCTTCATGGCCGGTTGTACTAGTCACATAAGAAGAAAAGGAGCCAGTGAGACAGCAGGATAATTGGATTTTTAAATGTGTTGATGGGGCCGACTGGCTGTAACAACAGCAACCACAGATGATTGGTTCTCTATGCAGCTTCACTCTGTGCATGTTATTTCTTAAAATATTCAGTTTCATTTCAAATCTACCTAATTAATTTTCACAACTAAATTCTCCCTTTCTCTTTCTCTCTCTCCCTTTCTCATATTCACTTAATCAGAGTCAATTATGGAGTGTCCTCAGAATTGTCACGGAAACGGTGACTGTCTCTCAGGAATATGCCACTGTTTCCCGGGATTTCTGGGGCCTGACTGCTCTCGAGGTAAATGCTCATAGAAAAACACTCAGCCACCCACAGAGAAGCAGTTATTGTTCCGAGATTGTTATCCCAGCAGTAAACGTGACCCGCGCACTCCGAAGGCTCCGTCGGCTGCTCTGTACACTCGCCTTTCCATTTTCACAGCCTTCATGTTCCCTGGGTCGGGGATCAACTTACCGCATATTATTTTAGACACACCTGTTTATATCGTTTTGCATAGCCTAAAGCCAAATGCAACCTCATACATCACAGGTCAAAGGCACCCCACAGCTACTTTATGAAATATCAGGAAACTTTGCAGCAAACTCGTCTTGTTCTTTCTATTTGTGTAGCCTGCACAATAATCTCCCCTTATGCTTTTATTAAAAAGACAGTGCTGATATAAAAGTGGAGGAGAGCGGTTACAGGAGCCCGGCTGTCACAGGAGGAAGAGACCAGAAATAAAAATTGTGTTTTTTCAGGTGCAACAGTGCTTGAAAATAGGACAGTGTCAGAAAGTGTCTTGGGCTGATGTGTGGGGGATTATAATAGAAAATAATTGGTGTGTTGAGCATTGTTTGGCGCCTGTGTTTTCTGGCCTTGTTTTTACCCTGGATTCATCAATCAAGTAAGCAAGCTGTTCGCATCTCAAAGGAATAATAGAATTATTTTACTCGCACAATAAGAAAAGGTAACTATAAATATTCAGACAAAAGCTGCTCAAGGCCCCTGGAGCTGTTTATTCCGTTTAAATCATAAATTATTCAGATTTTGACTAATTGCAGATTTCGTTGGTTTACAAAATTTTGTTCAAAAGGAGGTGATTTACCGCCCGACTAAGTCGTCTGTCTCCATGTATCTAATTCAGCAGCCTGCCCGGTCCTGTGCAGTGGGAATGGCCACTACTCTCGCGGCCGCTGCCAGTGCTACAGTGGGTGGAAAGGCACCGAGTGTGACGTCCCGTCCAACCAGTGCATTGACATCAACTGTGGAGGACATGGCATCTGCATGATGGGAGCCTGCATCTGCAACACTGGTTATAAGGGAGATAACTGTGATGAAGGTAGGAAAAAGAAGACCACCAAGGCAGTGGGTTGGTGCTGATTAATTTATTGGTATTTGTATAGATATGCAATAAATGTTCAACTTAAATCAGCAGTTTGTAACTTTTATTTAAAAAATAAACAATTGCTGAAACTGTCACTATGTTATTACAACATGGTATGACACTGATAACCTGAGGAGAATTTGAGCTCCTCTTCCTTCTCCCAGAGAATGGTCTTAGCGCTGTCAATCATGCTCATGTATCTCTACTACACTACAGTGACTTCCCGCCGGTAGAGTCTGCCTTGACTTATAAGTCTATTTAGCATAGCTACCGGTGACAGGAAATAAGTGGTGTTCCTGGAACGGTAATTTATTGATCTATTATTAGCACATTTAGCAGCACTTTCACAAGTTTATTGACAGCTAAAATGCTCCTCCTGGCTCTGATTGGTTGTTTTTGACCGGGAGTGGTGCATTTCTTCAGATGGCAATAGTCGCTTAAAATAAAAGTTACATACTTCAGTTATAAAGCAGGGAACAACTATCATGAGTTTTCACATAAGAACTTGAAGCATTCTGTTGTTTGCCATTGTTGAGGGGAATCTGTCAACACAACAACAGATCTTTGAAAACCTGCATCCAGACTCTGCTCAGTGCTCTGCATCACTAGTGCATCAGTTTGTGAGCTGTTCCTAACTCACTTAAAAGGCAAACCAGGAAATCATTTTCTGGACACGCTCAACAAACGAGATCTTTACTGAAGACAACGTGCGAAGGCCAACATCAAGGTGGACCAGAGTGGAAAAGACAGAACGTACTTCTTCTCAGCATTTAACAGCGATGCTCCCCCTCAGACTCTTTACCAAGCTGCAGCGGAGAACACTGGTATTCAGCTGCTTGTTACACTGGGGAAATTACAGTGTGGGCACCTGCCTTGCTTTTCTAATGTTATTACGAACATAGGATGGGTTGTAACACCTCTGGTGTAAACCCCCCAGCACCTTCGTCAGTGTGCCCACCCCTCTAGTAAAACACAATCGTGAAGTTTGTCGATCATGCTGTAGGTCTAAATCTTATATCTGGTCTGCCTGCCTAAAGAAGGGAAGTGGAGTAGCACTTCATCTGTTGGCAGGCAGACGGCCACTCTCAAATTTTAAAACAGCCCCTGAACTTCGCCATATTTCATTACAACCCAAGACTTCACTGCAAAGACTGTGTATGACAGAAAATAATTTATGTATTCTGTAAACACAGCAACCCCAATGTACCAGCATCAGCATTTAGTGAGAAATGTTTGACGCTGGGCATGTTATGACTAAGATATATAATTTTGCAGCTGGTATGCCAAGTACTGAAACAGTGAAAGGTTGACCATCCCGCCTGAAGTGTAACGAGATTACCAACGATGCACCTGTGGTGACGGTGATCAGCCTCAGCTACCTGAGTGCCTATTTTTACAGGGACAACACCTCATCCACACATCCTGATGCTCTGGTGTTCACAGGTTTGTCACCTGACAAAGACAGGAGAGAAACGTTAAGGTCTCCATGGCAATTCCTAAAATATTCTGTACGGCCAACATAGACTGTGTTCTGGACCCGGGGATCGGCTTGTGATTCAGAATCTACTTCAGCTGAAGATCAGAAAGCCCTGCAGAGAGTGGCCAAAGTAGCAGAGTGCTGCTGCATCAGATTAGTCCTAGCATCCCTGCAGGACATTTTCCTCCAACACTGCAGGACCAGAGCAATTACAATCATTAAGCAAATCTGTTTTCTGCCTGCTGAACTCAGCCGAATAGTTCCTGTGCCTGATGACTTGAACTGCGAGAGCACATTAAAGCTTGTTGCTACAGATTATTAGGCTTCTTTATCAGAATGTGTCCAACAGCCACAAGCATTGTAGGAACTGTGAACCACTTTGCTTTGTGTGATATTTTGTTAATAGCTGCCATAGTAATAATAATACCATTAGCTCTCATCTTTTCTGTAAGGACTTTATCAATGTAAAATGACAATTTAAAGTGTTAAACTTATTTAAAAAAAAAGATGCCAGTTAAACATTCTTAGGTTTATGAAGGTTAGCATTAGCCCACCTAGGTGCTTTCCAACCCCTGGGTGGGATAGAGGTGCATTGTTAATGTAATTAATCCCTTGTTAGTTTTCACCTTTTCTCCCTACATGAATTTGACCACCCAGTGGCTAAATACATAACAGTGCAGATTTAAAGCTAATAATCTGAATGACCTATGCACACCTGCTTGAGTTACCCCTGCTGAAAAGTAGCTTATTAAAATGATAATGTTCCAGCTCAAATTAATTTACTCTAATCTGACATACAATTACACATCAGTGGTTACACTGCAGTTGCTAAAAGCTTAGACAAGCTACACGGTGTACATTACAGCAATTTAATCGCAGCCAGTTGACACTAATTTGGCATTCGCGGCACATACGGCGCGCTACGCAGGTTCACAAACCAACGGCAGAGTGACTTTATATTCAAATCTTTAAAGAGTGTATAAAAGCAGACATAATGAAGATCATTTATGTGAGCGGTGAAAGCCGATTTGGGTGATGAGGTGAGTTGGGTTTATAACTGGATGTGTTTTCTCTGCGTTCTTGACAGCATCGATTAAGCATTTTCATTTAATCGCATTTTCTCAGGTCTGTGTGTTCATAAATGCAACAACATGCACAGGAGCCTGACTTCTAACACCGACCCAGCTTCATTTGCACTTCTCCTAACCCACTGAGCCACACAGTCAAGTCACTCTGGGCAGCACCTTGGTCGTAACGCTGATTCAAATCGGTACTCTCTGTTAGCTGCAGAAGTCATTTTTAATTTTTATTGCCATTTTTCTGCAATGTCAGGAAGTTTAAATGAGCCCTTAAACAAGAAGGAAAGTTTGTTGTGCATATTTCCTCTGGCTTCCTGTAGCGGTTCCCATTTCTGTTTGATCACAGACAGAAATAAACCGACTTTTAATCAGGAAATTAGCATTAATAAGAGTATCGAGCAAATTACTTGAAACTCATAACATTTATTATCTCTAAAATCCAAATATCAGGACCAGGATCTCATAAACGGCTAAAACCACCTTCACACCTTGGATTTTCTGCAGCATATAGAAATAATGCTGCTCTTATTAAGTTACCTACACATCTGATACCATAATAAATTATGATCCACAGCTAAGCCAGACGTCCACAGGTGTTTTGAGATAAGTTATGAATTGAAATTATTATTTTTTCCATAATTCATGTCAGTTGAAAAGGTTTGCTCAATAAACAAACGGGACAGTGATTGAAGGGTTGCATAACAGCAGCCAAAACAAGCCAATGAGAGACCAGGAACAGACATAAAAAGATCCTAACAGATCGAGTCATTTTGTATTATAGTGGTGGCCTAAAGTTTTCAGCTCTGCATCCTGCATCTTCATGTCTCTATCTGGGATGTGCAAATTGAATAATCAACTGGATGAACGTGCCCAATTTTATTTTTTATTTTTTTATGTCTGTAGTTAAATAACGGTTCAACAAGCAGAACAGATTTAATCACAATGACATGACACGCAGAAGCTAAATTTGCACATTTAATTTTAAAATTCTGTGTAACATGTCCATCACAAGTGTAGCGTTTGTCTTTTCAGGAAAACTAATCTCAAACTGTATGAGAATACACAAATCACACCCTGGCAATGAAAGGTGCGTTTTATCCAAGTATGCAAAGCGTGCTTGTGTGCTGGCGTTTTTTTTTTTTTTTCCTCTTACATTTTAGGCAGACGGCTGGAAAAGATTTTCACTGATATCTGCTCTCTTGCTTAAAAAAGAACTCATGTTCTTGTTACAATATTAAAGGAAAAATAAAACTCCTGCAGCAGGAGCGTCTGTTAAATTATCCACCCCTTCTCCCCATCTGTCTCCAGTGGACTGCATAGACCCCAGTTGTTCGGCCCATGGGGTGTGTATCCACGGCGAGTGCCACTGTCAGCCGGGATGGGGCGGAGCCAGCTGTGAGATTGCCAAGGCCTTGTGTCCGGACCAGTGCTCTGGCCACGGCACCTACAACGCAGAGACCAGCACATGTGCCTGCGACCAGAACTGGACGGGAGCAGACTGTTCTCTAGGTGGGGTCATTTCCAATGAGCTGATATCTACAAATACAAAAATAAACAAGTTTACATTAAATTCCTGTATATTTATATCCTGTACATCCTGTATATTACACACAGACCTGTATAAAAATACTGTAGCTTTTACAGTACTACAACTATGGAGTGGTGTATTTCTGGGATGTTTAGATAATAGCATACACAAAAACAAATTTTGCAGTATGATATGTGCATAATGTGATTAGAAGCTTGCAATCCTAACAGCCTGAGGCAGAAAGCTGCATCTCTGGTGGTTCTGCTTTTGATGCTGTGGTACCGTTTGCCTGATGACGACGGTCCCAGAAGTTCATGGAGAGGGTGTGAGCGATCTCTGGCAATAATCAGAGCCCTGTCCCCACTGCGGTTCTGAAGCAGATCCAAGATGGAGGGAAGGGGCTCTACAATGACTTCCTCAGCTCTTTTCACACAATATTTCTCAGACGTTTTAAAGAGCCATGTTAGCATAACATGGCAGTAATGTAACAAATATGATCAGAATTAATAAGTCAGTGCTAGACATGCAACAATAAATAAAAAAGATGTGGAAAAAGTGCAATTTACTTCTACTTTTATACATATTCATACACACACATTCACACACACAGCTGTGGTGACATTTGTAACTTTGATTCCGACGTCACAGTGTTGGGTTTAAGATGCTTCGCCACGATTAATGTATGAAGTTTGGTGTCAACTTGGAAAGAAAAAACGGTTCATACTAATTTTGATCTGAATGAGTATCTTAAAAATCCAAAATTTTCTGATTATATTTGAAAATTAAATATTTTTACAACCCCAACATCCACGCAGGACAGATTTGATGTGAGAGAACTGAAGTGGGAAGGTGAAATTTTCTATAGTGGTTGAAGTGAGTTAGCAGAGAAAGGCAGTGGAGTGTAACAGAGAGCAGCATAAAAAGTAGCTTAGATGTGTTTCTGGCTTTTATGTTGAGCATTAATTTTTTTTCCAGGAATAAAACCTGGATGCCACTTTTTGTTCTCTCTTAGCAACAGGATCAGAGGAAATATACCTTCTCATGCAGCCGTTATCTATTCCACATCTTTAAAAGTAGATAGAGATCAATTTTGATTGATTTTTTTTTTTAATCTGCATCATTCCTGACTTGCTGAAATGGTCATTTGACACTGCTGTTGTGCCACAGCTCTCTTGGCTCACTTCTGAAAAGGTAGCCAGGTTTAATTTCAATGTAATGTTAAGCTTTTTTTACTTTTAATAGGACGATTACTTCAAATATGCTCTCAGTGTCTCTGCAGTTTGGAGACGGAGAGAGGAAAAGCAGTAAAAAGGGAGATAAAACGCAGGAAAACTGAGGAAGAATGCAGATCAGTAACAGATGGCATGACATAAAAACAAACAAAAGAGGAAGGGAGTGTGTATGCGCGCTCTCACTTCTGTTTGTGTTGCCTCAAGCTGTTATAGCAAGTATTGTCAAAACCATCAAGCACACATCCAATTAAGTGTTGTGTCTTAGTAGCACGCACACGTGCATACATCCTGCACTGATACAATATTACTTTTGGTGTGCTGTTGACCTTTTCCTCAGGATCTGTCAAAACATTCAAATACGCAGCCATCAAACACACACGTGTGGATAGATACATCGACATTCAACCTAAGGCACTTCAGTCCCTTATCAGAGTTTAGCAGTGTGGCGTATAATCTCTCTTTCTTTGACGCGGACTCACAGAGACAGCCACGCTAACGCAGGCTGACTGTGGGAGAGCCACATGGCCGCTCACAAACACAGCTGAGTTCACACTGCCGTGCTTTTGTTCTATATCAAGCTTTTCCTGACCAGGCTTTCATTTGGCCGTTGGATATAAACACACACACACACACACAAATCAAAGGGAAATCGCAGACAGTAAAAGTAGCGCATAGCCTCAGTTCCCAGACTCAGCCAGTCCTGACCTCTGGAGGCATGGCCTGCACAAGGTCTCACAGTCTGCTGTCTGCATGACCTCTACATCCAGGAAGCTGCGAGATGTTCCACCCATGATTGGAGTTTTTTTGCCCAGAACATTCTGGATGGTGTTATTGGATTGGGACAAATTGGACAAGCTCATCATATTCTTCTGATCATTCATGAACAATGTCTGCAGTGTTTCAGGGTTTTCCTGTTGGAAAAAACCCCCAAAATGCTCAGAGGTCATAATTGTTTCCATAAAGTATTTAGTCAGCGTTAATTCTGTTTACAATGTTTTTTTGTCTAACTGTTTGTTTATTCAGAAACATGTTTTGTATAGATTTGAACATGATGAATATCAAATTCTACTATGCCTTTGAAGTATGTTTGTTGCATTTTGTGTAGTGCATGTGTTTATGGGATACAGAATTTCAAAATTTACTTTATAAATGTTCAACAAGACACGTTTTTGCTGTGATGTCACAATTTATTTTAGGCTGCCTCGAAACTGCCAGTATTTTTGCACGTTGATCAGGGAAACGTTCCACATTTAGACCAAACCACCCACACACGTTGAGTCAGCTGCAGTTGTCATGCCAAGACACTAGATGGCGCTACGATTTTAGCATGTCATCGAACACGCTACGCTTTTGACTCTTATCTTCCACTTAAGATCTCAAAAAGTGACCTGTCTCCCATGAACGAAGGCTCAGGTAGCACATGTATGCCTTATAAGGAATTGTGTTCAACTCAACAGGCTATGAAGCACAAGACGGTGCTATCCGCCACTGTTTTTGTTGTCAACAGAACTCTGCGTACTTTCGCTCCAGCAGAGTACTTCACACCTCTGCGGAGGACGTTACAGAAAAGTTTCACTCAGAGATCTGGTTTCAGAAAGTGCCAGTGTGAGAAACGTCAGAACTTCAGGGTCAAGTAATCACTAGCCAAGTTAATCAGGAAATAGATTGGGCTGCTTTCATTTGCATTCAATGACCTCTGCATTTGGCATGCAGAGAACATTAAATATTCATCCGGGTAGACTGAGCCTCTGCATAACATTGCATGGGACTGAGTTATTGTTGGATCTTTGTCACCTCCGGTTTTTTGACATCTCCAAGAATAATGGCTGGAGATTAAATTCTGTATTCTTCAGTATCGAATGTGTAGGAAGAAAGGCAGTGTTGCGGTGTTATTTACCTAAGCAGGGAAACATAAGACAGATATGCAATAGCTTACAGCTTGCGGCATTCATCTGAGTAATGTGTGTGACTTTTGTGTGGGAGTTTTATCATGCTGAGCTTTGTGTTTTGAACTTGCAGAGGTCAAACTGTTGCACATGTTGTCTTTGCTTTCTATGATATCTATGTGATACTTTTTTCTGCAATTTGTGGATTTGTAGTACAACTTAAATAGAACATATCAGCCTCAATATTCTCTACACTCCAAATAACTGAAAATAACAATTGGACAGGCCAGTTTTTGGGACTTATCAGTATAAAATCACTTAAGATGTTAAAATGTAACTATATTTGTAGAGAATATGTGTTTGATTTAATTTCACTTAACGTTAAATACTCCATCCATCTATCAATTGGCTATACCTGCTTATCCATGGAGAGCTGTGGGGGTTGGTGCCTATTGGTGATTGGTTGAGAGGTGCACTCTGCACAGGTCGCCATTCCATTACAGGGCAACACAGAGACACACAGGCCACACACACTCATACCCAAAGGCAATTTAGAGAGACCAATTAACCTAACACTCATGTTTTTGGACTGTGGGAGGAAGCTGGTGTACTTGGAAAGAACCCATGCATGCAAAGGACATCCAAACTCTACAGAGGCCAGGATTTGAACCCAGGATCATTTTGCTGTAAGGCAACAGCCAATAGTGGCATCGTGCAGCTCTGGCTAATACTCTCCAAAATTATTTATTAAAGTCAGTTTATATATATATATATATATATATATATATATATATATATATATATATATAAACTGACTTTTTATAGACGAGGATTAGAGCCACTGGAGAAAAAAAAATTCTGACTTTAATCTCAGAATTCTCATTTTTTGCTAAGATTCAGAATTGTTAAAATTGTTTATGCAGCAGCAGACAAATCTAGTCTTAAAACTCAGATCTGCCAAATTTGACACAGGCTTTCAGTGTGCAGATTTATAAATCCTATATCAAAGAACATGCTAACATAATGGACATGCACCGAAGAATGTTTGTTTATTTGGATTTAGATGTAGATAGACACAGAATTAGAATTCTGAGATTAATGTCATAATTTTGAGATTAAAGTCATAATTATTGTTATTTTTCAGTGACCATAACCCTGTTTTATAGTTTAAAGCTTTCTTTAAAAGAAAAAAATATATTCTTTTTCAGTAATTCTGGCAACAGAAGCTTTTGTTTTTGGCAACACAGGCAACCCTGCCATCTCTCTGGTCCATCAACAAGTCCTGACCCTTTTACTGGTTCACCAGTTTCTCTGCGCTTGTGGACACACCATGACTCATCCACCAAGACAGTTTGACCCTTGTTAAAGTTCCTCACATCTTAATGCTTCCCCATTTTCATCAGGTTCCACCACATTAACTTCACAGACAGGGCGTTCACAGGCCTCTCTTTGAGGTCAAAATGTTGCGTCTTCCTGTGGTATGCAGTTGAGCTGAGAAGACTGTTGCATGTTAAGCACCGACACATTCAGATGAAGGATATAATGCCTCTGCTTCTAGTTGTAACCTTCTTTATGGCTTACTATTAGCTTGAGTTTTGCAAAAACAGCCGTCAGCCGTTATACAAAATCACCACGACATTCAGAGCGCAAAAGGTTTCAAGCTAAGAGCTTGAGATATTTCTTCATACAAGGATGAACTGCAAACAGCAGCGGCTCTGCTGCTTAATTAGCCTTTCTGAGCTAATATCAAAAGGTGCATCAATACATTCAGCAACTAAGTAGCTCAGGTGTCACTGCTTTGCCGGTGTGCTTTATGAGTGGATCCCAGCTACATGTCCTTTATGCCAGGTAAATTAAACGTGGCTGGTGTCAGCTGCTGCAGATATTCCTGTTAATGCTAATGTCAAGACCAGAGCTTGGCAAGAACAGCTGTACTTTAAAAATCAATGCAATGTAATAAACAGCTAACAATAACATTGTGGCGGGTTGTTTTGCTCTTGCAAAGTGAATATGGAATTATTTTGAGGATTGCTGTGCGAGGGCTTAAAACAATGTCCTACTTTATGTTGCCAAGCAATTGGATTGTTGTTTCACAGACCAAATGAAATAATGTGTCCTAATTTGCCTCTTACCTCTGTGTTACTCTTACAGAGGTGTGTGAAGTAGACTGTGGCAACCATGGGATGTGCTACGGCGGTATGTGTCGCTGCGAAGAGGGCTGGACGGGAACCGTCTGTGATCAGAAGGCCTGCCATCCGCTGTGCAGCAAGAATGGAGTGTGTAAAGACGGGAAGTGTGAGTGTGACCAAGGATGGACAGGAGAGCACTGCAACATTGGTGAGTGGATGACGTGCAAACACATTTCACTAAAAAACGTCCATGAAAGGAGACAGACATGGACTCAAAGATTGGGCTTATTGTCTAGCGAGCGCAGAAGAAATAACTTCCAGGTCAAAGGTTTTGAATCCTTGTTGCGTCAAAAAATATAACACATTTCTTTATTAGTCCTTCACTACTTACTGGCCTGTTTGTACGACTGCAAGTTCTATTTAATATAGTTCTGTCCATGGATGTGTTTTCTGCTTTTGTTCATCCTTAAACGTTTCACAACAATAAAGAAATCTGGCATTTATCAAGGATAACCAGGGTGATTACAAAAAGCAGTTTTCAGATGATTATTTTATTTATTATGGGTAAAAAGTTATCCAATATGGAGAGTCAGGAGTGCCAAAGTACAATAAATAACTTATGAAAAAAGTATTTAAATGTCATTAATTTATCAAAGCTGGAATTAAATCCATAATAATTTATTCATATAGAATTGATTATATGTGCCTCAATTAAATGTATGTATTTTATTTTAAACATTAGCCATACTTATTTCACAATCTAATGAATAATTTTATATCCTTGTGCTCAATCACATCACAAATTAATTTAAACTGTCAACTTCAGCCATCAAACTCAGTGGGCGGGACTAAGGCAGCTCTCTGGAGACCTGACGTCTGATTGGCTGCTTCAAACAGGAAGTCAAGGCAACTTCTTCCAAGTTTATGTTTTTGACAGTTTAAATTAATTCATTATGTAAAATGTATTAAATCATGAAATAATTATATTAACTTTTTAAAATGAAATCAGTACATGTATCTATATAATATAATTCTACAGTTGATAAATTATTTCTGCATTTACTTTAAAAAAAATGTGACACATTTAAATAATTATTCCATAAGTAATTCATCAATTGCGATTCAGCACTCTTCACTCTCCACAATCCAAACAAACCTGGCCTCATTTCAGAAATGCTTTGCCTCCTAACAGTGTTTGTACAACACTTGGCAGCAACAGTTTCCATAAGGCATTCTTTGGTCAGCTGTGGTTTTTTACTGGGAACTCCCTCATTTTCTCTGTGTTTCTCTTTTTCCTAAATCAGAAAATCTGACCTTAACTGAGGCAGTGGACGTCTGCAGATGTCCTGGGTCTTTTTGTGACCTTCTGAATGAGGTGCCATCCATTCCTGCAGTAATTTAGATGGGTTGGCCACTCTGGAGGGTTCCCCAGTGTTGAATGTTTTCTCCATCTGTGAATACTGGCCCTTACTGTGGTTCACTGGAGTCCCAAAGCCTTAGGTTATGTCGCTTTTTGCGGAGTTATAGATGTGTGTTTCGTCCTTGTCTGCTCTTGAATATCTTTAGTTTGGGGCGGGAAGTGTCTCTTTTTGGAGAACTTTTTTATGTTTAAAAAATGTGGTCAATCCAGTTAGTTTATGATCCAACAAGGGGACAGTCTGCAGTTTAAAACTGAATTTTTATCTGAAAAAAAATGGCAAAAACAAAAGGAATCTGAAAGTGGCTGTATGCTTTTTCACAGCACTACACATTCTTGAATCAAAGTAGGTGTCTGTTATAATCAATCAAGTTTATAGTTGTATAACATATTTCGGCAGCAAGGCGATTTAAAGTTTTATACATATAGAAAAACATAACAAAAACATTATAAACACATCATATAAAATTAAAATCATCAATTAAAAGCTCAATATTACATTTATTGTAGTTCAAGAGCAACTCTATTCATGTGGGTATTTAGTCTTGATTTAAAGGAACTCGGTGTTTCAGCTGTTTTTCAGTTTTCTGGAAGTTTGTTCCAGATTTACTAAAGCCAACATGATGTAGTTTATACCCGTTATTGACATAGACTGCACTGTCACTGGATTATATTCCCAGGTTAAAACTGAGCTCTCTCTGCTGTTGTGGTCGTTCAGCAGTGGAACTTCAGATTGTCGGGGTCTCAAAACTCTTCACTTAACGTTTTTTGTAGACGGGTTCGCCTCAGTTTGTCCACCTGAGCTGAACCTTTAAAAAAAAACAACAGTTAACTTCTTCAGTCCAGGTTTCTATCAGCCTGATCCACCTTCACATTAAAGTCTGTGATTTTTTTTTTTTTTTTCCAGACCTGCCCACACGTTTTGCACTTTGATCTGTTGGAGCTTGCTCCCCATCTGTTTCCTCCTCAGAGTTTCATTTTCAGCTCTCTTTTTACCCTCTTCAATAACTCTCTGCTCCCAAGCATGAATCCTCTCTTATGCTCTTTCAGGTCACTGGTGCGCCAGGAGTTTTTTTATTTCTTATTTATATCGTCCAGCACAGACATATATGTCATATGACATCTATGTTATTGCCATATTCCTTCTCCATATTCCACTTGATTTGCTGAATTTTTTTTTTTACTCGCATGGAAAAGGAGCAACATGCGTGATGCCCATCTGTCGAGGGAAATTTACACCTCAGATTGTGCTGCCAAGTAACCAAACAGCATATCTGTATATGTGCTGGTTACCTGCATTTACAGAAGTTATACATATTCAAATGTGGAAGAAAAATCTTACACACTGGGAAAAGTGCATCATAGAAGATGTAATTTGTCACCTTGTCTATATTAAATGTCTTTATTCTACAGAGATTTAGCCAAAAAAAGTGTCTAAGTAATACTGTGCAATTATTAACAATTGAATATAACAGAAATGCAAAACTGAGGATCATTTAAAGAACAAAATGTACTTTATGTGCATGTTTATTTGTGCTAAAGGAAACAACAGACTATTTACATGAAATGAAGAAGCAGTTTATTTGAAATGGAAAAAATGTGTAAGGTAAAAAGCAAACATGATAATGATGTAACATCCCAGTGAAAAGTGATGCGTTCATTCAGATCATATATCACTATTAATGCACCATAAAAACACCAATGACTTTCACAATCAATAGGTGTGTCTGTAAGCCTGTATGTTCCTTAGGGCTTTATCTATCCAGACCTGAATCTAGCTGTAAAAATATATATATCTCACTTTTCTTCTTCTTTTGTTTGTGTTGGAAGGTTATTGTTATATTCTGATGCACAACTGCTATCCACTGAAGGAGTGCAAACTTTTCACTCTGGATGAACTAACTATCACCAGGGCTGTTCTCTGTGAATGTGATATAGAGCAGCTTATATGTCGAAGTGATGTTACTGAAGGTTACATGGTTACAGTTTGATCACAACAGGAGCTGAATGTGTCATGTGGAAGGATGTGAGCATTCACTATTCAGCTTTATAACAGCTAAAGGAAAAGCTAACGCTGTTATTCTAATATCTCATCAAGTCGTTGACGGCTCCTTTGTGTTGTTGGTTAGAAGATTTATCCAGCTTAACTTCTGTCCTCCGAGACTCAAACCGACTCAATCCCTCCAGGATCTGTTGGAAAATGTGATGTCGCTCTGAAATTGTTCACCATTCCTGGTTAGCTTAAAATAACCCAGCTGACATACTGCTCTGCTCTGTTTCCTTTTTCCTAATGCTTCTCCTGAAACTTTGTGTAACAAGGAAATAAATTATTAGATTTGTGTAAATATGAGGCTTGTTTTTCCTTTTGTTTGACTTGCTGGAAATTAAACTACTTTTCTTTTTTCCTGCTGCCTGTTTTCTTAACTAAATTCTGTTTGTGTCTATCTTCCTTTCTTTCCCAATTGTGTCTTTCTTCACAAAGCTCACAATCCGGACATTAGAGTAAAAGGTACTGTACTCGTTTCTCGTCTTTACTTCATCGCAAGCTGTTTTTATTCTTCCATTCTTTGCTTTTCTTTGTATGTACCCCGGAGCTGCCGCTTTTTAACAGTTACTTCTTTACAGTTTTACTTTTTGATATCCAGAATATGTTGGGATTTTCCTTTCCTCATTTTGATATTTTCTCTCTGCATCATCTTTTTGTATTATGAACCTAAATTTACTTCACAAAAGCATTCCTTTGTACTTCATTTAGCTTCTTATTTTATGTTGTGCTCCTCTGTTTAATTTCTGAAAACATGAACTTAGAGCTCATTTAAAAACTCAGTTTAAACCTCTTCAGTTAAACAATGCAACAGTACAGTTTGTGTTAGTAAAATTTGAAATCATAATTTTGTTCATAATAATGACCTGCGCCAGGTTTATGTCAATGACCTTCAGCGACATTGAAAACAGAAACACGTCTGTGTGATATTGTAACATGTTAGGATCGGTGCCCTTTTTTAAGCCAAATGTAAATATTATCAAGTAGAGAAGATACAACAGTGAATCAGACACCCAGTTGAAGAATAACTGGGCACCCAGCATTCAACAAGACTTATACCAAAAAAAAATATTTAAATTTATCACACAAAGTCCTCTAAAGTTCCTCTGGATTTATTTCTTTTACTTGTTAAAATCTTACAGTGGGAGACATTAAAACACATATATGAATGACAGGAAGTAACCTAGTGAAATACTGGGGCACTGTGATGGTGAGTTTAACAGTCTGAACCTCATCTTAGTTTCTCATTCACACACACACACACACACACACACACACACACACACACACTGTCTTGGTGCAGGGTACGTTGCTGTGCGGCAGAGTGCGAGTTTGAGCTCCTGTTCTTCTTACTGAGCCACACAGCAGAGCACAGATACATTCAGAAATGAATAGTCATAATTAGCAAAGTCATTACAAGAGCTTGATCAGCAGGGTCATGCATAATCTGCTGAACTATAGCAGTTTTAGGAATGGAAATGATCAAAATAGTTCTTTGTTTCACTGATCACTGAAGGAATCGTTTCCCATTAGCTTTTCTGAAATATTATATGGTGTAATTTATAAATTAGCATACTAAATGACTGTTTAACTTATTTTTAGTTGGCAATAAATTATAACTGCGGTTGTCTGTCAAGATTCTTTTTCTCAATCGTTTCCTTTATTTAGATTAAGCATTTCCCAAAGTCAAATGTGAGAGGTGCATATTTTACACACCACACACACAGACAGTAGAGAGGTTTTGAAACGGATATTTCAATTTTACTACCTGGGGAAATCATGATTTTCCGATCCAGGGGCCGTTTACTTAAGCATTTCGTGTGTTTTCTTTCTCTTCCACAGTGTTGTATAAGATAGTAAGAATAAATCACACAGAGACTGTCAAATTCATTGGTTCAGTTTGTGATTATATCTTCAGCTGAACTGATACAAGAAAAATACACAATTAGTGCCAGAATTATCTTTCCATACCTGTATCCATATCCTTATCAGCTGCTGAGCAGCTCCATCTGGAGCTGACTGTCCAGATAAAGAAGGGGGACACTGGACCACTGGGTTTTTAATAGTGGTGACATGGTTTAAAATGTAGTAATACTACAACATCACGTATTAACAGTGTAAATGAACAAGCCTTAATCCCATGAATCCTAATTAGTTATGCAAGTAACACCAGACAAATATTTCTTTGCTAGTTTAGTGAAGTCCAGTCCTTGTGACGGCCATGTTTTTATCTAAATCTAACACTTGTCTCTCTGTGTGTTTTCTACATTGTAGATATTCCAGCCTTGTTGCAGATTCTTTAAACATGCTGCAAGCATTTCCAAATCCTTTATGCTTCATGGCAGACCGAAATTGAAAGTTCAGAAATATTAAGATAAAGCAGCTGTCTTCCTCTGGTAGCCACAGGTTCTGTGACGCTTCGCTGTGAGAACAGTCAGTTGTGAATAACCAACTAAAGGTTGTCAACAAAGCAGCCCAAGCCTTGAATCCTTTTATCATCAGTCGTTTTTTTTCCTGTTGTTTTTCTTTTTCATTTCTATCATTATCACGTAACACAACATGGGCACACTCTTTATTAATCTCTTTAAGGTCCTGCTTATTTGCTCGACAAAACTGCGTGACATTCAGCAACAGCCTCAGGCTGCGCCATATATTGTGAATATGTTTGTCATTGCATTAGCCGTGTGTGCAACATTCATATCGCCAAGGACTATTTGGAGTGCAATAATTGCTGGATGGTATATTCCAAGTGTTTTAAACTTGGACTTCACATACTGATGCAATGTTTAGCCAGTTGGCCAAAGACTCGTGGCAGCAGAGGCTCACATGGGATGGAAACGACATGAAATGCTAAAAGTTACAGTGAGATGGAAGCACAGATGAGAAGGAGATATCATAGTCTCAATTTTTACCAAGATTATTTAACATTGCGCAGCCCTAGAATAGCTGATTTTCATTTAAAGACGAATGCAGTCAGTGGCATGAAGCAAACTTCCAAATGTCTGCAGCAAAGTTGATAGCGGCTACATCAGATAACATTCCACACAGGAGATGGAAATATTTTTTTATCCAGCTTGAGTTACCTCTCTATGGCCAACTAAGGGTGTGTCCAAATTCAGGGGCTGCATCCTTCGACGGCTGCATTTGGAGTCTGATTACATCACAGCGAGACGACAAAGGCTGTTGAAATTTGAAGGGTTCCTCCCACTGCGGCCCACAAATATGTCCCTCTTTGCTCTGCGTTTAACTTCACAAGATTCCCAAGACTCACTGCAGGCCAAACTGGAGGGGTTTGTTATTGTCACGATGGCAGACAAAGCGGGAGGCAATTACAGTTTTATATATAAGTCTATCAACGTCTAAATATACAGACATTTAAAGCTTGAAGTGGGCATGGTATTATGGAAGAAGATTAGGGCAATTGGGGGAAAAAAGAGAAATCTCACTTTAATCTCAGAATTATGTCAGAAAGTCAGAATTTAAAGTCAGAAATCTGACAAAATAAATCTGATTTTTTTTTTCCCAGTTGCCTGAATCCTCTCCCATATGTCAGACTTTTGTCATTTACATATATTTGTTTTTGAATGTAATTTTGATATAAAATAAATGTATTGAATCAATTCATTAATTCAGTTATTAAATAAAAACTAAATAAGCAAAAGCAATCGGGAAAACTTGAAGCGCCTCTTTTGCTAGCTTTTGTGTAGCACCGCCACGGTTGCTAGGCAACAGGACATACACAAATGTAATGGCCGGAAATAAATCTGAAGACATTTTGATTTCACTGCTGCTGGTTTTCACTGGCAATAAATAAATAAATTTGGACACACCCCATGTTGTGAATAAACTAGAATATAGTCAGGTTCATTTGTCAGATTAGAAGTACCTTTTAAAAATATCAACCTTCAGCAAGGTATTATGCAGACCTTTTATTGAGTTTACATTTCTGACTTAAAAATAAGTTTTTTTTTTATTGGTTTGATGTCATGTTCTGATCTTAAGTTGTGTTTTCATTGCCTACAAGTAGAAAAGCATCACAATTAACAGAAGTAAAGACATCAGTCTTCACTTCACTTGGTCAATTGAGCTGCAGACTCTAATTAACTTTTCAGTAACTCTCCTGCTTGTGCTTCATTTCCACGTCAGAAAAGAGAGATTTGCTAATTGTTCTGCTAAGTAATCAGAGTAACTAAAATTAGCAGCACAAGATTTTATCAAGGTGTTACTTTGTATCTTATGCATTAAAGGAACAAGTTTATCAACAGATGGTATAAAGTACTACGATTTCCAACTGATTTAGAAAAAAGTGCACAATTTGAAGTGTGAAAAAAATCATGACTGCATATACTGTGATATCTTAAGTTGGATATATTGGATTTTGTGATCAGTGTTTCCAAATTTACAAAACCGAATTTTGATTTCATGAAGAATTCCTGAAGATTTTTTTTTTCCATATGGTACAAATAGAACAGACCGTTAACTCAAACTTGTGGCAAGCATACACATTTATATTCAATAAATTAGAATATACATTAAAATTTCATTTTGAAAATGACAACTTTCAACATGCTTTTCATTAAGCACACATTTTTGTTTTTAAAAGTTTTTTTCCCCCCCTTGGTCTGATGCAATATTCTAATTTTAAATGTCATGTTTTTATTAGTTCCAAGTGGAAAATCATCATAATCATCAGAAATAAAGGCTTTCCAACATCCATCTGTGTGTAATTAATCTATGCAATGTGATTCGCTTAGCCATAAAGTTCCTGAAATAAATGGGCTTTTCAATAATATTCTAACTTATTGAATGGGTTTGTAAACCTCTATATTCTGCTTATGGTATTAACGTTTTCAAGAAAAAAAATAGTCTTCACATGCTGAAAATACATGAAGTTGTTTATTTAAGCTACACGGCATATATAGAAAAAGGGTTTGAGCGTTTAATGTGAAACTGAAACATTTTGTGTTTGAACCAATAGAGCGGAGAAAGAATTCGTTTTATATCTGATCTCTGGATAAAGGAGGATCTGAATGAAGCTGTTTTCATACTATAGTTCTGTGCTGTTCCCTTTATTTGACCCTGGCTTGTCCATCCTTTCTACCTTTTTCCTTTGGCTCCCATTTTCATCTTTCCATTACAGAAAATATATTTGGCAGTGCTGCTTTTGTTTCGATTTTACGTTTTTTCCCTAATTTTCCTCCCTCTCTCCCTCTTGCCCTCTCCTATTCTCAGGATATAAAGGTAATTCAAGATAAAGACTTAATAAAGGCCTCACTGTCCCAAAATACTTCACTTTCTGTTCAGTTTCGCTTCTGGTTCATTCTAATTCTTTTCAGTTTCCTGTTTATGGCTTGATTCTTTTCTTCACTCTCCATGTTTCAGTCTTTCCCTGGTTTGCAGTTTGTCTTTTTGTGTTAATATTCTCTCTCTGGACATGTTTTTATTTAATGATTTCCTGGCTCCATCATGCCTGTTTTTGTCACTGATTCTCACACGAAACACAGCTATTGATGATACTGCACACCTGAACACAGACTAAATACAAAACCAGTGCTGCACATGTGTACATCATAAAGCAGAGCTGTGTGATTCCTGTTTTGTCTTGCTTCAACAAAGCTTGATTTCTGTGTGTTAAGTTAGCCAGCCGATATCCCTCTGTCTTCTATCCTGACATTCTCGTCTTGTCCTTGTTTTCCTCTCTACTCCCCCATCTGTACTTTCTGGTCTCGTTCTTTCTGTCCAGCTGGGCTTTGCTTGGGTCTGGCACTCACTTTGTGTCTTTTTTTTTCCTTCCTTTATTCGTCTATTTGCCAACCTCACTGTCTATTTTACAATAAAGGAATGCCAAATACAGGCATCAACTCTAGTCACTGGAGGCATGCAGTCCAAACCACCCTGTCCTCCCAATAATTTGTGCCTGGACTACTTGTCTACCTGTTGTGTTTTCACATGGACCAGAAAAGCGAGAGTGAATGAATCCATATTGCTAAAAGAACCAGTGGCAGCTTGTTGTTGTTTTCCTCAGATTTTGGTGTATTTATGCTTTGTTTTCAAGTCTTTTTGTTTTTTTTTTCTTCCATGTGAAGCCATGAAACTTTCATTAGACAATTTGGGTTACAGCATAGTTTTTAGTTCATGTGAAACTACAACAAAAGCGCATTTCACCAAAGGCTGACTGTCTTGTCTGTTTGTCAGTCTGTTTTTTTTATGTGAAGGTTAATGTGCCAGTCTCCATTATTTGTCTCTGACTCTATCTCTCAGCCTGTCAGTCCTTTTAAAAGATTTATCACATTGGCTGACAGTCACCAAAAGACTTTAAACACCCAAGGTTTGAACCAGTGTGACTTTTAAAGTTAGGTCTTTTTGTACTGAAGCTGCTGACAGCCTTATGTGTTCAAATTTACAACTTCTTGCAGGAAAGATTTTTTTAAATTCTTTAATGTTGGAAAAAAAAATCACCTGAAAAAGCATTTATGACCAAGTCCAGACCGAACTGCTTTGGCTACAAGTCCACCGACATTCATTCCAGCTCGCTCACTGATTTATAAATATACGACGATTCCAGATCCTGTTCAAGCTGGGTTCCTTTTACACCCAGCTGAGCTTTTCCACATTTTCTTACATGACAGACTTTCAGCATATTAGAGTTAGATTTTATATGTTAGACCATACTACAAGTGGGCAACGGATGTTTTTAATTTGTAATCAACTCTCAACTCTAATACCCGTTAAAGATCCAATTGTATGGAATCCAAATTGGTTTAAATTTCATTAGTATCAAACGTGACAAAGTAATCTTCCTGCAATCCAGTCATACAGCATATTGTGTTCAGATCAAAGATGAATCTTCACAAATGTGACCTCGGTAGCTGCTTTTCCATTTGTCAGTATTCCACTAATGTTGAAAATAAAACACAATTCCTCAATTGCAATGATTCCGATAAATAAATAACACAAATAAAATTGCATGTGAATAAGTTTGTTAATGCAATAAGTCATTAAAAAGCAAGCCATGCTGTCATCCTCCAACTACTTCCTGTTGTTGTCTTCTTCATGGTTTGCACCAGTGGCAACATCAGGTTGTTGATCATGTGACTCGTCTGATTGCAGTTTTGCAAAATAAACCAATTCTGATACTGCCAAAACAAAAAAACTCATTCTAGTGACAAAACCTTTTATCAAAAAAACTGAAGTTTTTTTTCCAAATTGCTATGTTTTCATTAAGCAAATTTATTTTCAAAATGTCAGCTTGTGCAATTATATGTTCAATGGAAACACAGCTAGCAAGTCTCATTTGCAGTGTGCCACAAGCCATGTAGGAGACGCATTAAGAACATAGAAGGCACTCAAGTGAGATGAGACCTAATTAAAATTTTTTAGCCTACATGCAAAATGCTATGTGAGGTAAAACACTGACACTGTGCAACACCTTAACCACAGGGAATCAAGGTGGTGGCAGCAAAGTACAGTGAAGAAAAGCCGTTGGAGGCTGCAAAGCCTTTGCTCCAAGTTGATTAATTGCATCGAAAGGTGGTTCTATAAATACTGACTTCAGGGTGCTGAATACAAATGCAACTCACACAAAATGAGTTAATAAAAATGTAAAAATTTCACATCACAGTTGTGTATCGCTTTGTGTTAGTAACTTAATATTTTAATAAAATGTGTCAAAGTGTTTGGTTACGAAGTGGTGAAATGTGGAAAGGCCCAGTGGGCAGGAACACTTCTTCAAGTCAAGAAATTTTTGTTGCAACTTTAAATTTTGATGCATCTTAGAACAATCAGATGCTCTTTGACCTCTGTGTGCAATGAGATGTTTGATTTATTTATGTTTTATTTTTTTTTGTTCCCACCAACAATGAGGTTCAGTTTGATATTTAGCAGCATTTTATAATGGAATAAAAGGAAGCCCCAGTCAAACAGCTCCTTGTTTCCAGTAGAGATTTACTGACCTGTGTTGGTCATCATGCTATTTCAGAGCTGTAAATAACTTTACTTTTAATGCGCTGAATAATGTTTATCATGGTTTTCATTATTTTATTTGTGGAAAAAAAAAAAAAAGCAGCAGCTTTCAGCACTTCAGTGCAAAACTGTCATCCTTGAAAAATATCAATAGACTGAGTCTTGTTTCCACAAGAATTGTTCCACTGTCCATTTGTGAGCCTGTTTTCTACACCAACGCTGCATTTCTTAACTCCGTGTCTGTCCCCTGTGCCCAGAGGGCTGCCCAGGTCTCTGCAACAACAATGGACGATGCACTCTGGAAGCCAGCGGATGGCACTGCATTTGCCAGCCGGGATGGAGAGGGGCAGGATGTCACGTTGCCATGGAAACCCTTTGCACTGACGGCAAGGACAACGAAGGAGGTATACCTGGTGCCTGGGCACTGTGTAATTAGCGGAAGCAGATGGTTAAATACATCACTGGTGTGTAAAGCATGGATAAAGATTAAATAAAATGTTAATGATCGGTGATAAAGAACTTAATGGGCCTGCAGCTCCAGTTTTGACATAGTCTGAATCAGCATTATGGAGGAGTGTGAATGCTGTAGGAAAGAAAATATCAATTCATGGTTTTTCTGCTCCATTGAACTTATTAACCTATTTGGGTGATACTACCAGAAATAACTTGGAAAGTTATGGGTGTTTCTGTTTGAGCTCTAAGTTTACTGGCTACTGTTGTTAAATAACTTTTTTTTCCCCCTGCTCAGCAAGGATCTTAGCACGAATGAGCATTTTGGGATTACTAACATGGGGTTGCAAACCAAAAATGTTTAGTGTTTTCTTCTTCTCAGGCCTTCATCAAGAACGTCTCAAATATTTCCATGTTGGTATTTGGTAAAGGGCGTCTGTGACTTCAAATAACAGTAGTTTGAGCCACAGACGACTGAGAAGTTTTAGCAATACAGGCATGGCATACATGACGATCCACTCTCTTGTCAACAGCATTTAAAGTTCTAACACCCACAGAGTTCTAACACTGTCAAGTTCAGTGTGTAGAATACTTTGTGATATAGATGATGTGAGTTGGAAGATGTATTTCCTGGGAGACCTGAACCAGATTTCCTCACATCAAGCTGTTCTTTACAAAGAAATGTCTAACTGTGCCTCCTGTCAAGCTCACAAGGGGTTTATTTATAGTATAAGGATCATTACAGACATGTGCACATATTTACACTTACTTTCTCTTTGTTCCCACTGGGTTTAAGCATCACAATCCAGCTTGTTAACCCAGGAAATCAAACCTGCAGAGGACCTGAAATCTTGTATCAAATAGGAATGTAACAATACATCCAGGTCACAAAATGATTTCTTTTATTTCATCTTTATTTCACCAGGAGAATCCCATTGAGATTAAAAATCTCTTTTGCATCTTGACAAAGACTGGAATCAGCACAAACATGCATGACACTTAGCTCCATATCAATCAAAATTCAAACTCCCAATTTTTTATTCTGTTCTTACAGTAAAAGTTTCAGAACTTACAAAATGCGATTTAGTTTGTATGGAAACAATAATCTGTGCAAAATTCAAGTTTGACTACTCTGAACCATAAATTAATGCTTCATGAAAATATATCAATGTACATCAATACGGCAAATTATTCACACTTAAAGTTAACCAGGACTAACCGAAGGCATTATTTTTTTCCTTCCTAATGATTGAACTATAAGTCCGATTAAAAACACAAAGAAATTTCTGTGCATTTCTCATGACTTTTACTTATTAACTGGAAATAGAAACATGTCAGCTTAAGATAGTAAAATTTACTAACAGAGCAAGAAACAAACACTGACTTTGCTGCTCTGAATTAAAGGGAACATTTCTAAAATTATAAATGAACTTTCTGAACCTTTTTTTTTCACTAATTAAACTTGAATGGACGTTCAGAGTTCATTAGACTCCCAGAAACCCTGAGGGAGACGAGGTTCAGTTCAATCTTCAGAACACTTTTATAGCCACAGAACAACATAGATCCAGCTAGAAACCTGCTACCAGTCAGTGACCACCAGTCCTGGAGCCCACCGTGTCCCTCCGCCTGGGGGACAAGGAACCGCTGCATACAGTTGTTTCTGGCCTCGCAGACGGTAATCTGTCTTACAGGTGTCAGACTGGGTTTTCTGGGTCACACTGACACAGGTTGTTAGTGTGACCAACCAAAAAGGGCAACTTGTTGATGACCAAAAAGGGTCTCAACAGCAAAACAGGGAATTAGACGATGTCTTTCTACTTCCACATGATCAATTAGCTCTAAGGACCTGTCAGGTGTGGGCGATGGCTTAACCTTGACTTTCTTAAAGAAAATGATACATTTCACCCATCAGAAGAAAACCTATCAATTTAACTGCATCACATCAGACCTGACATTGTATTAACATTGAAATATGTGTACAATCATTGAATAAAATACGATCACTTTATCAAATAAGTGAAGAAAGTGACACATTTGTCATTAGTACTTAAGCTAACGATGTTCTTTTCATAATTTTTTAGCTTTTTCATAGAATACAATGAACTCTAATGAATTTTGAGGGGCACAGTTTTGCACTCAAAGAATTGATTTTATAAATTAAGACCTGGGTCTAAAAATGTCCTCCCAGTAGAATTATGCAGTTTATGTTTGATAAGTCCAACTAGATTAATTGTTGAAGTCAAGTTAGATATTTCAGTCTCATTAGGAAGCTGTGAAATAATCAATTAACTGAAAGTTGAAGAAAATATCTGATGCAGACGCTAACCGTAGTGTAGCTCGTGGCTAACAGTTAGCCAGGTGCAGCGTTGTCATGATATTACACACGACTCGTAGCGTTTCTGTTACTCTGCTTCTCTTCAACTCAGAGCGGTACTATCTTGCTTAAAATAGACTGTGCTCTTCTAATAAACACCTTGCATCCTGCTTAGAACTATGTATGCAGCTGATGCGTTTACATGCACTGAATGTTAACTGTTACAGCAAAATGCTGCAACTTCTCAGCTGCTACATGAAAAGAGAACATGTGTTGTGAATGCTGATGTGACAGTAGAGTTGAAACGCTGTCAGCTACCAGACTTCAAAAAGCCTCGTAGAGTGTTTAAATTACAGGCTATAGAGAAGGAAAGAGATCTGAATCAGCAACAGTTCTACTAGAAGCTTCAATAAAAATCTGCTTTTAGGTTTTTCTTGAGGGAGAGCTAACGCATTGAAAATAAAATACAAAAAAAAAAAATGGCAGAGAGAGTCAAAGAAAAAGGCTGATTTAGAAATAATGCTCTGGGCTTAAGTGTTATACCCAGCTCTGAGTTTGATGAGTGTGGTGGACTAATTAAAATATGGGCAACAAAGAGGAGCTGGAGATAGAGAATGAAAAGTGTCAGAGCTTCTATGTGTTTGTGTGCCTCAATGTAATCTCAGTCCCTGATGCCTGTTCACCAGATGTACAGCTGTTTTTTTTTTTTGAAGAAACTGAGACAAATAGCCAGTGAGATTTTTATTACCCTGCATATCTCACCCTATCCTTCCATTCCTCCATCTGTCTCCACTCTTACTGCTCTTTCACTCTCTGCCCCTCATATATTCTTCTAATCTCCTGTCCCTCCGTTCCATTTGTGCTGCTTATTATTGGGGCGTGGACTGGCATTGCTCAGAGGCCAGTACAGAGCATCTATTTGGTCCACTATCAATTGGCTGCAATGCACTGCATTGGAGCAAAAATTACCACTTAGCTCTGAACAGATGTCTTGATTAATTTTCTTCCATCAGTTTTAATTCGATCCAAAAAGGATGTACGCTCACTGGCCACTTTATCAGGTCCTTATTCAGTTGCGTATTAAAACAAATCAACCAAGGATACGATTGTATCTCGGTGGATATAAGCCTTTACATGGGCTTGCTGTTTGGGTTTTCAGTAGGTGGAATAAAGGAAATTGAAGTGATACTGTACAAGTGTTGATGCTAGATAGGTTTGAGTATTTCAGAAGCTGCTGATCTAGTTGAATTCCCATGCAAAGCGAAGAGGGAAGCATTTTTGCGCCCAGATATGCCGGTGAGTCTCAGCTGTAACACTGAGATGGCATGATCAGAATTGTGCATGAACAGCACAAAGTTTGCATCCAATCTGTCTTGTATCTAATGGAATACTCTAGATCTTTGAGCATTGTTTAAAAACGACAACTTCAATAAGTATCGTTGCTAACAATGTCAATACTTTTATAAACTGTGTATCCGTCTGTTGATGGCTGCAGCCAGCAGGATAATACACCATTCCACAAAGATCAAATCATCTCAAGTTTGCTTCCTGAACATCACAATGAATCTGCTGCATTCAAATGACCTGGACAGTAGGCACATCTAAATACAATATATCACCATATTTTGGTGGAACTGGAGATGTGCAGCGAATAAATCTTCTGAAATTACATGATACCAGGGGTGGGCATTTATTATTTATTGCGATAAATTTCATGTCATGATAGCTATTGTTATCACGATAAATTCTAATTAATGATGTTTAAAAACCCCAAACCTGCCTGTATTGTTGGGCTTTAAGATTAGCACCACACATTTCATGTCAGTTTTGTTGATGAAAGGCTTTGCTGGTGGGTTTCAGATGGATTGGCTGACTGTATGGACCCAGACTGCTGTCTTCAGCCCTCTTGTCAAAACCAGTTATACTGCAAAGGGTCTCCAGACCCTGCTGAAGTGCTCAGCCAGTCTCCCTCCTCAATGGCACCCCAGCAGGTAGGGAACAGCATGCAATTATTTGGAAAACTTTGATTTGTCTTCCAACAGTGACAATCATTGACAATTACAGTATCTATTTGTTTATAACTCTTGTTTTTCTCAGGCGGCCAGATCTTTCTATCAACGCATTCACTTCCTGGTTGGCCCTGAATCTACTCATGTCATCACTGGAGAGTCTCCATTCAATAAAAGGTAATTGTCTGTCTGTAATCTGTGAGCTTTGGGTGTGTTTTTGTTGTTAGTTAAGTTTTGTCAATACAAATTAGTAAAAATATCATTTGAAAGTCTGTTTGCCCAGCATGTTTGTGCAGCACTCACTTCCCAACCAGCTTGTTACAGTTTTCATGCCTCTCCTGTTAGTGAGAGTAAGGTACTCTCTCTAAGTCTTCTTGTTTGGTGAACTGATTATTTCATTTGTCTGTTGGTCTGGGCCCACAAATGTTTATCTTATCCATGGTAGTTGAAGCCAAATTGCTTTCCAAAGCCAACTAGGATGGGCTTTCAAACGAGGGAAGAAAAGAAAGGGACTGCAAGGAGAACAGAAATGATCAAGGAGCAAACTGTGACAAAAATAGGTTTAAGCTGAATATTATGACCGGTCACATCTGAAGCAAACAAATGGCACTGATTAGCATGGTACCTGGTAGTGGGTAAAATATACAGAGTTAACATTTTGTCTTTAAAACTGATGTGTTTGAAGCAGAAAAAATCTGGTGGATTAAGGGTTTGAGCGAATTTAACAAGGACCAAATTATGATGGCTGGATAGTTGCAGTGGTCAAGAGGTTAAAGCTGGTTCTGGTGGAAAAGTGACAGATCAGAAAGTGACTCCCAGTTTGCTGTGTGTGGAGCCACATAGGAACCGACTTGGCACGGTAGCTATGCTGACCCCTGGACCACGGAGCAATTAAAAGAGCTGGCCTGGTCTGGTAAATCCCATTTTCTTTAACATCACATGGATGTGTGTGTGGGTGTGCGCGCGTGTGTGTGTGCGCGTGCGAGTTTGTGTGTGTGTCAATGACATGAACAAGATATGGCAGCCGAATGGGCTACAGTATACGCAGAAGGAAAGTCTCTACAGGCAATGCAATCCTTTGGGAAATGTCCTGCTGAGAAACCTCGTCTCCTTTACACATAGATGTTACTTTTACGTTCATTGCTGCTACAGATCATGCTCACCTTTCATGGAAACAGTACTTCCTGATGACTGCAGGCTCTTTCTGCACAATAATGCACTGTGTCACAACACAAAACCGAGTTTGTTGTTGACCTGGCCTTCCCAGATCAACATCCCCACACCAGTTAAATCCAGCATTGGTGGGATTTGCAGGAAAAACAAGTATGATCTATGGGGCCACCTTCCAGGACTTAAAGGATCTGCTGCTGCCATCTTGGTGCCAGATAACACAGCAAATCTTCAGGAATCTGGATGACTCCATATCTCAACAGGTCAGGGACCACACAGGAGGTCTGAATGTAATGCTTGATGGCTTATTTGACTTTTGTTTAAATCAAATGTAAATAAACAGTTCTTTTAATTTCCCTCATTGTCCTTGTTGTCAATTTCTCATGGCAATCAGCTTTTGTGGTGGACAGAGTCAGTTTAATGAAGAAATATGACAACACCAAAGCCTAAAGTCTGCCAACTTTTTCTCCTCACATCTGCCACAAAGATGGCATTCATGTGATGGGAGGGAAGGAGAAAGTGGCTGTCTGTAAAACGCATTGAGTCAAAGTCGCGCTGCTTACGAGGAAGAAACATAATGGCATTCTTATGCAGCCAGCTTGTGTGAATGTTTCATAAAAGGAGAGGGCCATGAACTCTGTAATAAAGTTGTCCAATATTTCTATAATGAATGGGCTCACAACCTTGTAATAAAAAGGATTTATTGTACGTGTGTTTGGTTGCGTGTATGTGTGTGTACGCGTGTTCTTGTTTAGCTGTTCTATTTAGGACCATTTCTGGCATATTTGCCAACCTTCTGGAAACCAATGGGCCTTATGGGGACCAAAGCCCGGTTCTGATACGACGAACAACCTTGTCTGGGGTTAGAGGTTAGATTTGGAGGTATGGTGTGAATTAGGCTTCGGTTAAAGTTAGGAATAGATTAGCAATAGTTGGGCTTATTTGCAGTTACTAAAATGAAGGAAAGTCAATACAAAGTTGTAATATTGGTAGAAATTCAAACTTGTGTAAGGTTTTTGACATAATTACTAATATTTTCAGGAAGTGCTATCCTTCTCCATAAGCAACACTGGTCCTTAATACGCAGAAGTTCATAGTTAAGACATGGATGGTAGTTAAGGACTGGTTGATGTTAAAACCATTTGTTTATAGATCGGATTACATCGCACATAGACATTGAATGCAGATGCAACGTTCAAAATGGGGGAATCAGTGAGACAGCAAGAGAAAAAGAGAGGCTGTTCAAACCTGTTGCTAAAATTCATGGTGGCTGATCCAATCACAAGCGGACAGCTCTAAGTACAGGTGTGAACGAATGCAGGGAGGAATGAGGATTCACTCAAGCCCCGTTCAGACCTACCACTGCCTGGCATCTGGCTGTTTCAATTACAACTGGAGCGCTTCAAGTGTAGGACAGTTCACACCTACCACTGAAATTCCTTCTGAATGATCAGATTTACGTCCAGACAAACATGCAGCCGGGTCACACGGCCAGCTGCCAGAAAAGCAACATGAAATAACCTCAGTAGTTCTCTTCAGATCTGTTTCCATGAAATCGCACACATATCCAATTACCTGAACTGTATCAGTCACTTGATTCATTTGAGGTCATGTTTGTAGACTTATTTACACAAAATCCAATAAGACAGATTATGTTACTGAACAGACAGGATCAGAGAGAAATGAAGCAGAATAAAATGATTTGTGACTTCAAAGGGCTTAGTGGTCGTGCAAAGACACTGCAGATTTCTACCCTGTAAACATCAGCTGCAAGAACATTTTGATGTTAATATAAAACATAGTATAACATTGTAATTACAATACACACATCGGGAAAAAAAATCAAAATAAGGTGATTCAGTCAAAGTGAAGGCAAAGTAAACTATTATGATGCAATATCATATAATATTCAACTTACACAATGTATCCCAACACATGCAATATACAAAACAGGGGTGCCTCACAAACAAAACATTTGCTTCTGTTTTCAGTGTAAAATGTAAGGAAATGCCAACATTTGTAGCAAATATGAAACTGTGACAGCAACTTTTTCTATAATTATGTGTAAAGAGTCGAATCAAGTTTTAAAGCTTTAAAAAGTCACGTTTGACAATAACAAATTTTTCTTTTGCTTTTCAGCATTTAAAAGTGAATGTCCTGTACACATTCACCTTTTAATGTTTGTTTCTACAAGTAGGATTTGATGTAAAAATCAATACAATGTTCAGAATGAATGCTACGTTACAGTATTTGTGCTTCTTGTTGGCTTCATGTACCGTATTTTTCAGACGATAAGCCGCTACTTTTTCCCACACGCTTTGAGCCATGCAGCTTATACCCCGGTGCGACTTTTCTGTGGATTTTTATTCAACCACTAGGGGGCGCTTTAGCAGTAAGTGAATCATCGGAAGTCAAAATTGGAAATCAAAGAAGAAAATGCTAATTTTCATTTAGAACAAGCACATGCTAGCAGCAGGCTCGATTGAGAAATTTCTTCAAACTCATACCCCCTCTTCATGGAAACAACACGGAGAAGTTCATATGATGCAGCTTTTAAGTTAAAAGATATCGATCTGGTAGTACAGGAGGGAAATGGAGCCGCTGTAAGCTCGGCATGAACGACTCCATGGTTCGGCTGCGTCCTTAACAGCAGATTTACAAACGGAGAGCGACGGAGATACCAGCGGCATATAGCCCGGTGCGGCTTATATGAAACGTTTCCAGTTTAAAAAAACAAAAAAACTTTGTAGATGCGGCTTATAGTAAGGTGCGCTCCACAGTCCGGAAAATACGGTATTTAGAGATTCTGCAAAGCATGGGGGTGTGTTTTTACTGTGCTTTTGTTCATAGTAAATATTTCAGATGAGATGAAGGTAAAACATCTAGAGTTCTTCTTTGATTGAATACCGGACCATAAAATAGCGTACCAAACCGCACAGACTTGTGCCAAACTGCTCAGGGGAAATGAGGCATTAGTTGGGTCTTGTTGGAAAAATAATAAAATTTCAGCACTACTATGAATAATTAAATAATATCAAGGCCAACACCTCTGAATCATGAATTATAAGTACAGACACAATTCTGTGTTGAATGTCCCTCATATTCAGACATCCATAAACATATTAATATTGATATTGATATTGATGAGCCTTGTTTGTCAGATTAAACGCAGCTTTACAAAAAAACAACCTTTGAGCAGATATTAAATATACTTTAACTCAATCCATATTTTGTTGGTTTGATGTGATATTCTTCTCTTGAATTTGAATTAGGTGTAAATTGAAATCCATTATTACGTGTATGTGTGTATTTAGTCTATCTTGTGTTTTATTTTGGGAAACAAATGTATTTTTCAAGTCATGCTGTGTTTTCTAAACTTGATGTTTCTGTTTGCTTTACAAATAAAAATCAAACAGGTTTTGCCAGTTTTTGCGAGTGCCCGTATCTTTTGTTAAAAACCTCTGACCTGTTTGTCTCTCCAGCTTGGTGTCGATAATCCGAGGCCAGGTGCTGACTTCAGATGGGACTCCTCTGATTGGAGTCAACGTGACATTTGTCCACTATCCTGACCATGGATACACTATAACACGCAAGGATGGCATGTACGTATTTCTCTCAAAGACCGACATTGTAAATGTAATATTCAGCTACCCCAGGGGTGGGCAACTCCAGGCCTCGAGGGCCGGTCTCCTGCAACTTTTAGATGTGTCTCTACTTCAACACACCTGAGTCAAATAATAAGGTTGTTAGCAGGACTCTGGAGAACCTGCCTGAACAGAGGAGGTGATTCAGCTATTGGATCCAGGTGTGTTCCACCACGGAGACATCTAAGAGTTGCAGGACACCGGCCCTCGAGGACCAGGATTGCCCACCCCTGAGCTACCCTGTTTGAATTTATCTTGAAAATAATTAATTTAAGAGTACCAAAATTCTTTGAAAGTTCTACCTAGCAACTTGAATAATGTACAATGTAATTTTCCAATCTGTTGCAGAGTGAAAAGTGACATATTAATTACAATTTGGTGCTTTTGAAAATTATAGTAATCAGTTCCTGATTTCTGCCCTTCACTGTAGCATCTGCTTGTTTCAAATAGCGTTAAGCTTTTGCTAGACTTGTAGCTTCCTTTTGTTCTAAAATGCTCTGCATATTTGGGGCAATAATTGTGTCCCTTCTTCTCATTGTAACATTTAGGAATGCAGGCATTATACACTTTTTTGCATATGTACACATCATTTCTTTCAGTGCAAGAGAGCAGAAATAGGGAATAAAGTCAGTGACTTTGATTCCTTCTGACTGATTGACACGAGAACGATGATTTCAGACTCGACTTAAACTCTCTAAACAATCCAGACTAAACTCAGACTGGCATCATGTTCCAGGGTTTAAGTCTCTTAAAACAATATTAAAGGCGAAAGTAAAGTGATCAAGGTTGATGCCTTGATTAATGATTAAAGCTGTTCTCTCTGACCACTAAATTAGGCTAAAAGGTAATTATTTTAATTCTGCCTTACAACAATTCTGTTTACACTAGCCAGCATGCATCAGATAATGGTTGAGCACTGACTGAATGAGACCTGACTTGGGCAAAAAAAGCTTGTAAATGTCTCAGCAGGAGAACAAAGGATCAATAAATCAACTCTGAAAGCACAGGATTAAAGATTTTTTAAATGGAACTGATGGTTTATAATGAGCTTCTATGATTTTCTGTTTTGTCGAGATGAGATTTAAAATGGTGGGAAATGCTGTCTTTGTATAGAGCCACTGATTAAACTGGATGTGACACTGCAAGCCAAGCCAATGCAAAGTGAATGAACAGGAAAATGAATTGTTAGTTTCACATATATTCAGAATATGTTTTAGATTCCTTTTAAAAAAACACAGACTGCTCATTTATACAGAAAATCCTACTAGTTTATTCGAAAACTGTCCTTTTTGTTGATGATTTAAGCCAAAAGTGAGCAGCTACTGCTTATTGTCAGAGGAAAACTGCCTCTATGAAACATGTTCAGTGTGGAACATGAAAGGAGCCAGCGCCGGAGCTGGATGTGTCTAACTGTGTGAGATAATGTCGTTTTGTCACCCCTTTGTAAACACCATTATGCAAATTTAGCCAAGAATTATTCTGACCAGCTGTTTTCTTATACTTATGATGAGACTGCTTAAATGCTGTTGAGTGCTAGTTAATAAACACACACCTGCCAACACTTCTGAAGCCGCTTTTCTCCCATGATATTTCCCAAGCTGTGCAGAGACATAATTGTAATTTCCACAAACACCCTCTTTGAAAACATTTATTTTAGAAACACTGCTTAAAATTTCAACCCATCTGTCACTGTAACCGAGTTGCCCACAACTCGATTCAAGAGGCATATTTACATCTGCTCACAATGCACGGTGTTGGCTGACCAATTGCATTCTAAATGATTCCCCTCGCTATGTTGCTGCTGTTGCTTGGATCACTTCAGCACAGTTGGCTGAGAGGATACAATCAAGTGTGACTCTTGAAAGCCTAGCAGAACAAAAACAGTGTGTCGAGCCATATGTGCTGCTCATCAAATGTGTCAAACAGTTGACAGTCCGACTCGAATCTACACTTTGGCTGCGTTCATTTGTTTTGTTTATAGTGTCTGGAGCTAAAAGCAGCTCAGAAGTTTCAGATCTTCTCTCTGTCTTCACATGGCAAACCCTGGCAGGACGATAAACGCTGCAAAACTACTCCCAGAATTTGCTTTCACACTGGCAGCTAGTCGGAACGTTGTTGTTCATACGCAGCTTTTTGTGACTTGATTTTTGTTAAAACAATTAAATGGGAAATTCTACAACGCATTTATACACAGTTTTAGAACTTGGTAAAAATTGGGCCTTTTATTTGCACAATTTTATACAAGACTCTAGATTCTAGGGAGGGTTTTATGTTACAGACCAACCATTTAAGAGATCAACCACTTCATCTAGCTAACTATAGATCAACACACTCGTATACTAACCAGTAGATCAACCAACCTTCAAATTAACCTACCAACACTCTTGCCAACCAGTCAATCTACCAACCAACCAACAGAAAGGTCAACCCACCTGTCAATGAACCAAGAGTTCAACCATCATACCAACCAATGACTTAATAGACCAATCAATTAATTAATTAAATGAATAGCCATCCAAAAACCAGATCAACCATTTATCAGTGTATCTGTCAATGTTAAGTTATGTAAATAATTATCTTAAAATAACTTCGGACTGTTTTCGGAGCTGTTTTAAACTGATCCACCTGGTTGCTTGGTGTTGGTGTGTTCACAGGTTCGACCTCCTGGCCAACGGAGGGGCATCACTGACCCTCAGTTTTGAGCGTGCTCCATTTATCACTCAGTACAGAACCGTGTGGGTGCCATGGAACGTCTTCTATGTGATGGACACTCTGGTGATGAAGAAGGTACATTTGGACACATATTTCTACATAGATGAGACGTTTCCTTAAAATCATAATGTGGTAATTAACCATATCTGCCACTTAGTCAAAGGTTTTTGAACTTTTTGACTTTTTAGTTCTTTCCCGTGACTGGAAACATACTGACTTAGGATGTTGTTAAAGGAAGATACGTGTTCATAATTCATGTACTGGCACTGATTTATGAAATGAATTTGTGTTTACAAACAGAAAACAGTTCATCAATCCGTGTTTGTTTATTCCAGGAGGAAAATGACATTCCAAGCTGTGACCTGAGCGGCTTTATTAGACCCAGTCCAGTGATCGTTGCCTCGCCCCTCTCTACATTTTTCAGAAGATCACATGACGATGGCCCCATTATACCTGAAACCCAGGTACGGTAAACCTATCTGAAGGTTGCTGGCCAGATATTCCATCCAGTATTCACCTGGAACAACTGAGTTAAGAACTGGATGTGAATAACAGTGAGAAATACGAGAAAATTTGATTGTGGAAGATTGGATGTGATGAGGATCCGCCAAAGTCTGTATTTAACAAGATTAGATGTGTTTGGACCACTTACATGTTAGTAATACTTTTAACCACTGAGCCAGTACGAGTACTAGTCATAATCTTACTCATAAGATTTGTGCTGACAATGCATTGTTAATGGTGATGAATTTGTGCAGGATGGTGTTCATACTAATACTCCTATTGTAGATAAATAGTGCACTTTACAACATGGGTTTGTTGTAATGTGTGTTTTAGATTAGAGTCAGGTGATACAGATTGTACTACAGCTATTAATTATGTATGTTATAAATGTTAAATTTGCTTGACCAAATCCTTCACTCTAACAGAAATTTGCACAGAAATCAGATTTTTTTTTACCTCAGTGCTGCAGTAAAAAAAAACAACAAATCAATATTTATCAATATTGACAGTTGTTATTATCGACTGATATAAAACGCGTATATTGTGATACATTTTTCAGTTTAAACAGAAATTGAATCTGCACTGCACTGACAAAACATCATTCAAGCTGTATTGGTGACTTAAAGGGGGAATTATGCAAAATCCATCCTTTCAACATTTTCATAACAACTGAACGTATCATAGTTATTCATTACAACAACTATGTTCTCCACAGTTACTAAATATAGTTCACAGTTGCACTATAAAATGGCTCTAGTGACTGGAAAATACATAATACTCTCCATTTGTGAAGCTGTTATGAGCTAAAAATCTGTTGTATTTAATGTTATTGGAATGAAAATAAATGCCCTCTCTCATTCTGCCATGCAATAATCTGTTTTTATTGCAGACTGCAGCTTTGTTCTACATATTGATTGTCATTTTAATGTTTATGGCTTTTGAAATAGCTGTTGCATGCGTTCTGCGGCAATGACCGTGCACTAAATTATTCTCAATTCTGCTAACATCCATCTAAAGAAGAGTATTATGGACAAACGTGCACACACAGCTAAATATAGTTCTTTCACTTTGAACAACTCCTGACCACAAATGAGAGTGTGAGCATCTGTGTGTGTTAGAAAAGAAGAAAAGAGGAGTTTTTCACTTGTGTGGCTTCAGGATGAATTGGGTCTACTGAAAACAGTGAAGAAGAGCGATTGTGTGTGTGTGTTTTAGATTTGGGCTTTTGGTCGTCACATTGCATTAACCAGTCTCCTGTGGAAGTGAAACAGACGACAGTAGTTTAGAGTTTTACAGCCCTAACCAGTGCTCCATGATTACTTTTTATTTGCCTCGTGTCTTTAATTCTCTTGTAATACTCCAAAAAAAGAGAAAGTGTGTGACTGAAGTAAGTACGTGTGTGTGTATGTGGGGGCAGCTGAAAGGCGAGCCAACTAGTAGTGGCCTGATGAAATTTGGCGAGTTGGCTTCATCAGATACAAGGGCGATCATAAAGGGGACATAATGGATATGTAATGAACACTTAATGTTCAAATAATGAAAAGCCAATCGTGCTGAAAAACAGTGCAACACCAGAACGGTCCAAGGAAGAGGAATGACTCCCCGAGGATCCTTTTTTTGAATAATCTTTTTCTTAATAGTCTTCCTCTTTATCAGACGTGTTCTTTCTCTGGTCTCTCTCACTGTTCTCCAATTAAAACTGTGGATATTTTAGTAAATTAGTAAAAAAACATGATTGGACCGCAATCATTTCCACACACAAACTTTGAGTCTTGGCACGTTTTTCCCTATGCATGTGTGGGTTGGGTTACCGCTGCTTTCCTCAGACACTCCAAATTACACCCATCCATTCATCCATCCTTCCACCTTTCTATCCATTCAGTTTAGAGAATGTTTTTTGACCGTATGACGATGCCATAGGGCCCATTTCTGGAGAGAACCCACACATATATATGGAGAACATTCAAACTCTATGTGGAAATCCAGGAGCTTCTTACTGCGATGCAACAGTGCTAACAAGTGTGACGTTGTGCAGCCCAATTAGCATGCATGTTAGGTTAATTAGTGACTAAATTGGCTTTGGAAGCGAGTTAAATGTTGTGGAACAAACATTGTGTTGAATATTCTCTCTTGTAACAGGCTTACATCGTTATTTATTATTCAGTTGCCATTTAAAAAACAATGAAAATCCTGCTAACACGTTCAGGTCTGTCAGTGTTAATGCTGTGTGTCAGTTACTTATTAATGGTTCACAGCTGATGAGTTGGACTGCACCTTCCAAATCAGGGTCATTCTTTGCCTCAAGCAAAGGAGTTCAAGCATCTTTTTGTCTTGTTCACAAGTTATGGTAGGATGAGACAGGAGATGCCCAGGCAGATGTTCCGACTCTCAGCTACAGTCACGACTCGACACTTCTCATCTTAGAGCTCCAGGAAGGAACTTCATCACCTGAGGGGGAACCCGGAGTAGAGCGGCTGCAGCTTCACATCGAAATGAGAAAAAGTTTGAGTAGTGAAATGAAATACTTGTGAGCTTTGATTGTGTTTGTGTTGTTTTTCTGGCAGGTTCTCCAAGAAGAAACTTCAATACCAGGCAGTGATCTGAACCTGGTCTACCTCAGCTCCAGAGCTGCTGGATATAAACCAGTCCTCAAAGTTTCCATGACACAATCATCAATTCCTTTCAACCTGATGAAGGCAAGTCCTTTTAGTAATCTAAAATAATTAGAATCTGCAGAATCTGTACCAACAACATCACGGTCAGCATTGTCACGTAGAGTAAATGTGAGCTTAACTTTAGTGACCTTTGTGTCATTGTTCTCTTGATGCAGGTTCACCTGATGGTGGCGGTAGTGGGTCGTCTCTTCCAGAAATGGTTCCCAGCCCAACCAAATCTATCCTACACTTTTATCTGGGATAAGACAGACGCCTACGGTCAGCGCGTCTTCGGACTGTCAGAAGCAGTTGGTGAGCACCAAATAAAACGTCTAACTACTGCGTTCTTCAGATATTTTACTAATTATTTTTCTACTACTTAACGCTTGGTTACACTATCTTTGAAAATATATCTTTTAAACCGTTTCTTATCTCAAAACAAACTTCTGCAATGACTACTTGCTAAGTTGAGATGCCAAATACAGTTTTACTGTGACAGCTCTCATATTCAAATGAGGGGATATCTACTCAATAAATAAATAATGACTTCATGCAGCAGTGAGGCTACAAAAAATTATTTAAATGCAGTTTGTTTTTTTATCTAATCGTGTTAAAGTTCTTAAATCAGTATCAGAATCATCTTTTATCTTTTTCACCACCAGCTGGTTAAATCTTTACCAGAACCAAAAGTTGGAAATCAAGCACACAATTCTGACCAGTGCTGCTTTAATCCAGATGATTTTTAGGCCTTTAAACCAACATAATGGTTGTTCTTGCTATTTTGAGGCTACAATATGTAGCAAAACTATAAATTCTTTGATGCCTAATACTGACTTTTTTCCAAACCCACATTGTAAAAGTCTGTGCACAGTTCATTATGCAATCAAAATAATTTATTTACACATTCTACTTTATTCACTAGTCTTACCGCTGTTAAATATTGTGTGTGCATGAATAAGGAGCAAAACTGCAGCAAAGTTCCACCAACTTTCTGTTTCCTGCTTTACAAAAAAACTCCAATCCTGGCTAACTTAATTCAGATAAAAAATATTTTCCAAACACATTCATCGAGTTTTTCTAATTATATGCCATGTTAATCTTCAGCGACTCTAAACGTGTGATCTGTTTATGGCCTAACCTTTCGTAAATTAGCTTAAGAGCTGTTTCCAGACCTGCCAGTGGTGACCTGAAAATCAGACTGGAAGCAGTCATAATTGTCTACATACATAATATATCAGAGTCAGAGCATTCCTCCTCAACTCATTTTAGCCTTTCAGATTTATTTTATTGTGTCTTAAAAGGCTAATCTTAAAACAAAATCTCTCGCAGTAGGAAATGCCAGTGACGTGCATATCACCTATTGAATAAACCTCAAAATCCGCTGCATTCTTTCATAATAGTTAATAAACACACAGGATTCATGGGAGAGTGAAGGTGCCATCAGGATAAAAAAAAAACTGCTGCTGCCTTTGACTAAAACCTTAGCTTTCACCGAGACATCAAAGCAGGACGGAAACGCATCAGACACAAACGTGTTGTGCACTTATTACTGGTAATTGATTCTGCACATGTCAGACTCATCTTGAAAGAGTCTTCTGCTTCTGTGAATGACCTCAAACTGTATGTTGCTGTGGGTGTAGACACTACTTCTTACAATGGGAAAGGATATTATCAGGCTCTGTTAGCAGCTGCTGCTGCTTCAAATGCAGTTATCTGAACTGTAAATTTGATGAAAAACAGAAGTACTGAAAATATGTTGTTGTACATTTGCAGCATGAAGGATTATATAAGTGACTCTGCATGATGTTGAATGATACGGGTGAGATTGATGAATTTGCTGAAGAACAGAGACATTTTAGAAATAAAAGAAACACATTATGGATTGTAATAAACGTATAAATATTATTAAGAACAATTGACGATAGAGTAATAGCAATATAATGATGAATGAATGAGATAAAGACAAACCCTTCAAGATTTTCTGATTGCTTTGACTTGAAATTTTTATTGAGTTTGCAAAAATGTACCCTAACCAAACAAAAAGTACCATAGAATTACCAAATATCACGAAATATAAGTGTTTATTTTGTTTTTCAAGGGAAAAAAATACATCAGGATACAAATTAATGAACTCCCAGTCGGTTTTATAGCTTGAGTTTGTATCATGCAATAGAAAATATCGAATATGAATTCATTCATTTATCCATCCATCTGTTCAGAGGTTAGCAATTTATAACCATATTTTTATTCTGCAGAAGGAAAATGAGAAAGCAAAATGTTAGACATGAACCAAGTTAAAGATAAATGATTTTAAAATAAAATTTCTATTAGATACAAATAGAATTATTGAGCAATTTACAAGGTTTTACATTTTGTCTTAATTTTCACCATGTTCTTTTTTTAATTGTTATTTACATTCAGTTTAACATGTTCATCTGCCTGACATGTTACCATGGGTCTGTCATCGCATTATGCATAACCTTTCATGCTTTCATGATAACAATGCCAAAAACATGCAAATGAGTTTCATTTATGAATCCTGGAGAATACCTTCACTTTATTTTCTAATTAGGTGTGTGTGTGTGTGTGTGTGTGTGTGTGTGTGTGTGTGTGTGTGTGTGTGTGTGTGTGTGTGTCGGGGTTCACAGTATGAGCTTCTCAGCTTGCATAAATTAGAGTAAAAAAAGGACGCTGGAGCTAAAGTGTCTGTAGACTGAAGAACTGTAACTTTGCTGTTAATTTTTTAGCTGATTTTTTTCCTAATTGTTTGGATTTGGATTACGCGTCGTCACACACCTGCCCTTCTTCTGTGTGTGTCCAACAGTGTCGGTGGGGTTTGAGTACGAGTCATGTCTGGACCTCATCCTGTGGGAGAAGCGGACGGCCATTTTGCAGGGCTATGAGATGGATGCTTCCAACATGGGAGGATGGATGCTCGACAAACATCACATTCTGGACGTGCAAAACGGTACGAGTCATGACCAAACTCCAAATGTCCCTGAGTGGACGCCTCTGTGCATATTTTATCAAGATAGGCCTCTTCACCAAGATCAACAGCAAACATTTCTTTTCTGATTTATCTGGATCATTGCCTGCTGAAGTTGTTAAGTGCAGCACATACAGCAGCATGCATAAGATTAGAGTAAGCAAGTCCTGAAAATATTTTCCCCTGGAGTGTCTTTTTGTTTCTCCACTCCATTACCTGGTTAATTGTATGTTAAGGAGTGAGAGGTCATAGCTAATAGCAGGGTAAAAGTATGTTCATTCAGGCAGTTGCTAGAGTGATTGTTTTCATGCAGACTTTGGTTGATGGAGCATCGCAAACATTGAGCATGTGTGTGTGCTTGTGTGTGTGCACGTGTTCGAGTGTGTGTGTGTGTTCCTTTTGGCGTTTCCTTGATTTGTTCCAGTTGACCAGAGGTATTTTAGGAGCCTTTTATCTCCCTCCTTTTTCTCTTCTGAGACTCGCTCCCATTCACACACACACACACACACACACACACACACACACACACACACACACACACAGATCTTCTGCTCAGTCTTACATCTGTCACTCTGCGATTCCTGCCTAGTCTCGTCTCCGAAAACTCTTGGCTTTGTCTCATAAAGTGTTATCGCGCCGCCTCCTTTACTGTCTTCAGCTGTGTTTCTGTTTGAATCGACAGTTTTAAAAAGTTTCTCTGCTGCTTTTTAATGGGAGAAACCAGCATATTTATTGTAGTTCTTATAAAAAATTTAAAAAAAAAACACAAGACTGCACACACATGGATGGAAGAGATTTAGAGCTGGATTAATAAAACTCCAAATAAAAGATAACCATGTTCTCTGGTCAAAGCGTACTTAGAAAAAGAAAAGATTCAAAGAACGCCTCAACTTTCATTTTTCTGGATTTAGGCTCAGGGTTTTGTTTTTGTCTTTCATGCTAGTCAATCATTGCTTAAACGTTAGGTGCATCATTTAAAGAATGGACAAGTTTACTCAAAAAGAAAACATTTTATTTAGTAAAGAAATAATACCAGCATATCGAACAGAAGTCAACAATATGAAGCATTTGTGAAAAACTAAATGCACCTCGACAACCTGAGATATAAACCCACACACATTATTATTTAAAAACGGCATACTCTCTTTTTACCATGAGTGTTTAACATCTGCTGCCTCTAAATTTACAATTTACTGATGTAAACATTTGAATTAAAGTTACCTTCTGTCCTGTCGTTGCTTAAAGACACTTGATTACAGCTCACCAACAGATGCTGGGAGGCCATTTGTAGCTGAAGGTAAAGGTTACGTTGGTTAACTGGTGGCGTGTCTGAAGATGTTACTGTCTGGGTGACTAAATTCATCACTTGGAAATGCACCGATCCAAGTTTTATGGCTAATTTCCCAGAAAACTCCCAAAACAATATGACATTTTTTAAAACTCTGTGATGTTAATACAGGTTTGAGCCATTTCTGGTTTCTACTGACCAACATTAAAAACTTTAACTAGATTATTGTTCAGTGAGAAGGAGACACAACGTCACACTGTGGAAAATAGTAATAATTAAACTAGTAAGAAAAGGAGCTTAAGATCTTTTCAGTCACATTTTGAGGATCAAGGTTTCTTTCAAGATATCTCAAATGATGTCTCTGAATTCGTCACATAAAGGGTCATACATCTGTAATTACAATTCATGGTATTTCAAACTTATTTGTAAGAAGTCAAAATTACATTTTTAGTCATCTGAATTAAGATGTTTTGTGTTATTCCCTTCACACAGACTTAAACGGTTTTGAAGAGCTAACAGTGCTTCCATCAACCCATTCCCAGAAAAAAATTGCATTTTCAAAAACTTTTTTTAATTTTTATTTATACATGTTTTTAATATTTACATTGAAAATGTGAAATATATAAATCTGGGATGTTTTGACTAGACGGTATACTTATTCAAGATATCACTTCTGTCATTCTGGCGACTCAAAAAGTTAAACATATTTTAAATAGAAAAAATGTCTATGTTCAAAATATTTCTAATTCGTTTGGAGATATCCGACTAGTCAAAATTAGCATTGCAGGAATTCCCAAGTTAGTTGTAATTATTTGCTTTTAAGATTTCTGTAGTTTAGCTAAAAAAACATACATCTCCTATCTGAAAATACGTCTAAGGTATCTTTAATATAATGTTATTAAAGAATTCTTTAATTGTATTTAAGACTGGTCAGAACACAAAGTGGAATATTTCAACTTTACTTCATGATTGGTGATAAATTATTTCTGAAATGTATGTTTTTAGTCAGTAATTAATTGTAGATATCTTGAATTAAAGCCTTCATGCAACTTAACAGAAAATCTGACATCATTTCTGCTAGTCAGAATGTAATTAAAGATGCCTTAATAACCTAGGATGTGTAGTCATAAACCAATTTTAGAAATCAGGAGTGTAAATGTGGTGGAGTCAATTTTATGTTAAAGCAGCTTGCCCTATTCCCTGACCTTCTGAGATTTGAACATTTCAAATCCAGCTCAAAAAGTTTAAGTAAGCAGAGCAACTTAAACTTTCTGCCTGCCAATCGTTTTACAGAGGCTGGCCTTTTCTTGTAGTAGCAGCTTGAATAAATGACATGCCTGTGTAGAAATATAAATATACTTTCCTTTTAAACATCTTCTCACACCTTCGGTGCTTTTTCTGCCTGCATTTATGAACTAATACTGAAAATAGATCAACTTCCTCATACCAGTGTGTGTTATGGTGTGGTCTTTAGCAGTGCTGCATTCCCTGATTGAATTCTTGCAAAAATAATTGGATTTCATGTGATCGCATGTGAATTTTTAATGCATGCATTAGCAGCTTTTCTAAGCACAAGTGCAAATGAAAACAACCTGGAACAATATTAAGCTACTTAACCTTTATTACCAATCCAGCCGTTTCCTTTTCCTCCTATCTCTTGCTGTCCTTTATGTGACACACAATCCATCAATTTTTTTGCTCTCTCTCTCTCTCTCTCTCTCTCTGCAAATCCTCATGGGCTTTCAACACATTGTCACCCAATTGAAGGTGTGTGTGTCAGACAGTGTGTTTAGAGTACAGGTGTAATTTGTGATTTTCTCTCCACCCTCTGTGATGGTGTGATTTGGTGCCATGGGGGACGGCACCGGAGTGCATAATGTGGCTCTGTCTTTGAGACTAAAACATCCTGTGAGCATCACCATGATTCAGTTTGAGTTGGACGCCCTGCGTGCCTTTCATTTGGATTGTTTTTCCCCTTTTAAATCATAACTTTCTTTCTGCATTAATTTCTCTGTTACATATTATTAATCCAAGCAGAAGTGGTAACAGCAGTCATAATAATCATAATGAAAGTGAGTGGTTTGAACCATGCAGCGATCAGCACACTGCTTCCCCAAATGTCAGGATCTATAATCATTTTCAGCTTCCAATAAGCTCCTCAGTGAGCCTGTAGGGGAACACTGGTCAATCTAATAATGAATCCCAACACTAACTGGCAGCAGCTTTCCAGACAGTTACAGTTATTTACAGCACCGGGTCCTGTTCAGCCAATGAAATAAATGACGTGTCAGTAATGCCTTTGGGCTGTGCTTGTTTGCGTCTTATGTATGGAGCGACTTTTAGCCTGAATCTGCTTTGCAGATAATAAACTGGAAATGTTCTTACTAAAAACCTGATTTTATAAATACAAGTGTTCATTAATAAACAAAACAAAGAAAAGCAAAACAAATTTAGAGCAGGCTGGTGTTTTGCTGCATTAAGACATGAATCAACGAATAAAGAATACAAAAATATAAATGTTTACAACGGACCAGTTATACTTTCATCCAACAAATAAGGTCTGAGATTTCACAATCAATGGCCCCTTTAATAGATACACCTTGCTAGTTCCGATATAGATAATTATTGATTAGTTTTTTGTTTTAAATATCTGAAATACTGCAGAAGTAGCGACGTACCTTTTCTGTTTTATCCAGTTTTCACTCTATGTTATTTTTCTAAGCCATTGTGAGACACAGTGGTGAAACCTTAAACTGCTGCTGCAAAGTAACTCAAGGGGTTGTTGCTAGGTAACCAAAGAGCGAGTGAGTTAGTTGGTGCCACCAACCTAGCTTGGCTGGCTGTGAGAGGTTGAGCAGTTAAAGCCTTGCCTCTGCCTGCATCCCCCACAATTCTTTGTGGTTAAATTAAATTATTGAAAATTTAATCAGATGTATTGATATCGACCACATGTCCATCATGATGTATGTTGCTGATTTATTGTCCACCCTTATCTTAATCTTTCCTGACATAGACAACACAAGGTTTCAGAAACATTCCTCAGAGATTATGGTTCATATTTTCACACACTTAAGCAGATCTGTACACTGTGGTCATAAACAGAGAGAAAGGTCAGCAATAAAACTCCCACACCATTATGCCACCTCTGCCGACCTGAAAGGCAGGACGGATTCATACTTTATTTAGTTTATGCCACATTTTGAATGTCACGGCTGAAACAAAAACCCACCACAGAAGGTTGTGCTGTCAGGTCAGCTCCGCTGTGACACTTCTCTGTGTATCCTACAGCAATAACCTGGAGTTCAATTTGAGACATACACTGAGAGGGGACTGAAGGTGAACTCTAAAAACATATAGATATATAGTTTCTGTTGCTGCATGGCTGAACTTTGACTCCTCTGTGCTGTTTTTAATGTTTTATCCGTGACACTGAGCCCCAACAGAAAAGGATCATAAACAAAAGCTACATATAGAGGAAGGTAGGGAAGAAGGTTTTATTAGTTTGATATTTTCTGACTTTTAAACAGGTTGTGCTAAGATTGTATTTGGGCAAAAAGTAGAAGAACAAATTTAAAAGTTTAGTCTTCCCTTTTTTTTTTGAAAAACATAAATTTTGGGCAAAGTTTCTGTTTGAAAGTAAGAAAGTAAATAAGTAAGTCCAGGTCGCCTCAGGGCAGCTGTGTATACAACCCAG